TATATTAAATAAACGTTTGCCATTTTGTGTGTAACTGGTGACAATGCTTCCTCTCTCTCCCTACCTGCTCCAGCTCTGCTACCCTGCCCATCACCTTCCGCTGTCTGGAGGAGAACAACCATGTGGATAAAAGGGTGACACGCTTCATACTCCCTGTGGGCGCCACCATCAACATGGACGGCACCGCCCTCTACGAGGCTGTGGCAGCCATCTTTATCGCTCAAGTTAATGACATGGACCTTAACTTTGGCCAGATTCTAACCATCAGGTAACACTGTTTGTTTTTCTTTTGGGGGAATGAAGTAAAAGAAATCAAGGGTTCCATGTTGAGAAACTATGTGTCAAACAAAACTGATTTCATGAGTGTTCAACAGAGTTTTACATGCCTAGTCATTTTGGTTCATTTTTAAAGCACAGTATCTCTATATTATTGTATCATCACACTTTGTGTCCAGCAGTGTTCTTTGACCTACTTCTCTCTGCTGCATCTTTATTATAACGTCACTCCAGAGAGCATGTGATCATTATTTACTCAGTGACTCACCTGCTCAGATGTTTTTATGTGTTAATGAAAGGGTGATACATCAAATACCATGTAAGCAAATTATACTAAAATATGTATTGGTTTATTATTTTTGATATAATGTGGAAAATGTCCTTCCTTCTAAAGAACATACTTTATATTGTAATTGTGTTATCAGTGTGACTTTTGGTAGATTTACATCATTTTATAATTTCTGTTGTGCCTTTATTATACTACTACTCCCACCAGCAGTGCACATGTGCTGTTTGTTTATTTCGCTTTATTAAATGTCTTCACTCTCCTCTCATCCCTCCCACCGCCCACTCAGTATCACGGCAACTGCTGCCAGCATCGGAGCAGCAGGCATCCCTCAGGCTGGCCTGGTTACCATGGTGATCGTATTGACATCGGTGGGACTGCCCACAGAGGACATAACACTGATCATCGCTGTGGATTGGTTCTTGTGAGTTACCACTAAATGTCAGCTTGATGGGGATTGGTCTGTGTACTGTTCTGTGGCTCTGCCAGTCTAAATGTCATAGGAAAGCTTCAGAGAGCCCAGAGGTCCCACCACTACAAAGGTTACTGATGCATAATGCAGGGTGACGGATTAGAAAGTGTGTTTAGAGGCACAGTGTGAGTGTTTTCATTGCAAATATACAATATTGTTTCTTTATGTCTCAACTTTCCATCTCTTCTTGTCTGGCTCGATCTCTCTCTCTCATCACCCCAGGGACCGCCTGCGTACCACCACCAACGTGCTGGGCGACTCGCTCGGGGCCGGCATCGTGGAGCACCTCTCCCGCGGAGAGCTACAAAATCAGGACGATGAGGTGCGCAACTCTGTCATCGAGGAGAATGAGAAGCCCTACCAGCTTATCTGCCAGGAAAACGATACCATCAAGCACCACAACAGTGAGACCACTATGTGAAAAAAATAAAACCACACTCAAAGGGGCTTCACGTACCAAAAGCAAAGAAAGTAGGCTTGCAGTGGTGCAGAAGAAAAAAATCATTCTGGGTCGACTCACCCAGTGCTCGAGGTTCCCGGAGTGTCCCAAACTCGTAACTTACCCTCAAATACAAAATGCTGTCTGGGAAACCAGGTGATACACTGCCTGACCTGTGGCTGCTTGGTGACAGGAAATAAACACGCACGCTGTTTAGGAATGGTTTTATAACCACCACTGTCAAACTGATTCAGTGCCAGTGATGTGACACTAAATCAGATTGAAAACTCAGTATGACATTTAGAAAAGCTCAATGTGTCAAATAAAGCTGAAAATCATTGAAAAATATCTTCAGGTTCATCAAGTTTTCAAATATTTGTTTGATTTATGACGTCCATCAAATTCTTACCAGCATCCTTGGGAGAATACACAGTATTAATAAAGACAAACTCCATTTATTCAGTTTCCAGTTCACTCAACTAGCTCTTTTGAATGGATTAACATTTCTTTGCAAATATGTTTCTTTTGTAACACATCATACATCATAACTACCTCTAACAGGACTTTCAGACAGTGCGCTACACTGAAATCTTCAATGGAGCATATCAACAGGATATAAATACATTAGTTGCTCAGCTTTTTTAGAAGCCATGTTTAACTTTGATATATTTTCTTCTTTTCTTTAAGTGTGCTTGCGCAAAACACTGGACCACAATGGGAGTTAGAATTTCTGCTACTTATTAATTTAAGGTTGATATATTGCATGTGACTTGTTGAATGTTTTAAACTTGCTGCTTTCTTATAAATGGATAGCATATATATTTGCAAGTATTTTGGTGATATTGCTTTAAACTATGGGCATAAGACTGTACTCCTACACTGTTTGTAGTAACACCTGCAGTAATACTTCTTCTGAAACAATTTCTTCTCTCTATTGTTTTTGCATAAATTCGGCATTCAGAGAAGGAAATATTAATCAAGATACATTTTTCTTTTTCCACAATTAAGAGTTGTTGTTTTTCAAATGTTGATGTGCTTCATACTTTGGATTTTAGTTGACCATTATTTCTCTGTTTTCTACATTACACCAAAAACCAATTCAGTTTTGGTATATTTAGACTGGAATAATATATTGCAGACTAATCACAGATTTATATTTATTGCTTTGTGAAAACGTACTGTGAATAAAGTTGGTTAACGCTTTGAGGAATTGAATGTACAGTTGCTTTATGCTTTTGGGTGTTTTAGAGGAAAGTGTAGTGCATAATTATGAAAGTGAAACGGTATATACAGTAGAGTTCAGTTGAAAGTTCTTATGACTTTGTGCCACTTTTGTGCTTATTAAGAGGTTTCTCTTTAGTTTTGATGCTTTGACAGCTTATGAAAAATGTGACAAATAAATGGCTCAGGAATTGAACTGTGATTTTCATTATTGTGTTTGTGGCTACCCCTGGTGGAGGATGTTCTCCTGACTAGAAACTGTCATCTTCAGACAAACATGGTGTATGGAATTAGCTTCTGTTACACATGTTCTGTGTTACAACAATTTTATATGATTAGTTGTTCACTAAAAATGTTCAGTAATTCACATACAATGTGTTTCTGTTGTTATTTTATTCCCTGGCAGTCTGTTGTTTCAAAACTGACCCAGAAAAATTAACTTTATATTCTCTTCATTCACACATATGTGTTTATTTAAGCAAACAAGATTTAGAGCCTTGTTTTAAAACTACAACATTTTACGTGTTTGGCCTCATAGATTCTAACAGTCCTGAGATGTGCTATAGATGCTCAGTGAAATGTGCTAGGGCGCAGCAGCCAGTACTTTTAGCTAAATGCTAACACCATCATGCTAAACTGCTCAGAGCAGAACTGGAGGAATTTAAAAAAAACACCTGATACTGACAATTTAATAAAAATCTGTACAATTCATAATGCACCAAATATTTCTTGAGATTTTCCACCTGAACCAAAGTGCAGCATGGCTAAATAAAATATTGTGTAATACAAAATGCAGACACACACAAGATACCCAGAAAAAGACAGTGAGACATTTTGAGTCATTATTTCAGATTCATTTATAAAATTGCTGACTTGAGATACTGTGTTTAAACATACAGTGCATTCTTCTACAATACAATACTTGTGTGTTTCACACACAGTTGAGCCCTCTAAGTTTTAACAGCCTTGCCATGTAGTGAAGTGATTCATGAATACTTTGGCATAGTTTAGTGACGGACTATCGGTGAAAAAGACAAATGTAAACTGCAGATAGATATTGAAATAGCTGGTCGATGTCTGAGGGCAAAATTTTAAAAGACTGACATGGGTTAAATACTGAGTTTACAAACAGTCAATATACGAAGTGTGACAGAGAGTTGAGCTGTCTAACAGTCAGATACAGACGATCGAAGCCTGAACGAGGATTTTTTAAAGACAACTAAGACCTGGATTGTACAAAATGAGGTGCAAATCAATATCAGTTCCCCAATATCCTGCACACACACTGTGTCATTACACATTTATGAAGGTATACAAGTCACAAATACACATAGTGTCTTGCTGATATACAATATTAATTTCACTGTTCATGTATCATTTGTTTAATTACAACTTGTTCACTGGTTGCACATCAGTCATGAGTGGTTATGTTGTTGTAGAGGGAGACACTTCCACGCAGACTGCAGCTAATAACAGTATGAGCCATTAAGAAATAATAATAATAATAAATTCAACTTATCTCACAAGTAAATACTCCTTTGTTGAGACTGTTCCAGCCACGTGTTTGGGAATATTTCAAACACAGTTCATATTTAAATATCTAAAGCCTTTTAAATATGTATTGCTGCCCAGGTCTGGTCCCAGGGAAACAGATAGTGTAGACAGAGAGAGAGAGAGAGAGAGAGAGAGAGAGAGAGCTTCGCTGTGTTAGGACGACGAGCTGCTGAAAGTTTACTTGGCCTGTAGAAAAGGGAGAGGAATTCAAAAATAAAGGATGAGACATATGAAAGAGCCACTGTAAGATACTGTACATATTTGATGCAGTTCACCAAACATAGGTTTAAAGAGAACCTTACTTGTGACTGTGACTTTTCCTCCACCTCATCACTCCACATTGAGAACCGCCCAATTATCTTTCTTGTCCTGGAGGAGGAACTCTATTAATGACTGAGGTAACATGGAAATAGCATGAAAATCTCTCTATTCTCATTTAGAATATTCAGTGCAGAGACAGTAAATCAAAGTATTTACCATTGTTGAATAAATTACACTGTGAACCATGTGTTTTGCTGAGTTGCTGGAGGGTGTAACAGCAATGTGTCTGTGATGTACATTATGGCTGACCTCTGACATGACAGGCAGGTTGTCATGAGGAAGGAGCCACATGGTTCGGTGGGCCTTGGTTCTCTGTCTCTGCAGGAGTTTTCTCAGCATCCTCTTCACTTTCCGGTCTCTGGGGTCAGCACATTTCACCGCCTTCTTCGTGTAAAGACTGTTAAAAAAAAAACATACAGGGTGACAACAACGTTCTGCTGAACTCTGAACATCCAGAAACTGAAACTGTGCCGAAGTACAAGAACAAAGGTAGAAATGATGATTCAGCACTAATGTGAAGGACAACAAAGATGTCCATGAGGTGCAGCAAAGCCTCAGGAATCACAAAGAAAAGATGTTATAATACGACTGGAACGAGTCAAATATGTTTTCTCTCAAATAGAAAAAAGTCAAACTATGATCAAAAGTTGAGGACAGAAGGTAAGTAACCACTGGAATAGAGAGAATCAAAAGAAACTCTTGTATCTATAAGAATGTCATGTTTTTGTTAGCTTGACCACATGAAAAAGCAAGCTCTTCATTCCCCGGCTCCATCTGATTTCTCCCACTTGCTGGAAACAATAGGTATCACAATGCAACATGGTTTATTTAACTAAACCCTGCTGTTCTGACTGACTGGCTGCGGCAGGGCTCAGCTGGCTCACAAGGTATTTTCAGTTGGCTTGTTATTCCCACATATTTCCTTTCTTACTTCCCTGGCAATTACAGCTCAGAGCCCTGCCATAACAACATGACCTGGAAAGATGACAATGCCTCTCAGCCCGGCTCTGCCCTCCTCTATAACGAGAGGCATATTTTCCATGCCTGCAGATCGCTCTGTGCTTTTTAGCTCCAGGAGTGGATAGTTGGAATACTTGCATGATGGCTTGTATACTGCAGTCGGGCCCCTCTGTCTGCACCTCAAACCGCAACACATCTTTGGTACGCACCTTGCCCTGGGAGTACAACATGCAGCACTGGACATCTCTCTGCATCTGCACGCCTTTACCTGGGAAACAAAAGAGACAAACACATAGAAACAGAGTGAGACAGAAAATGAGGAAAATTTTTAATTAAGTTCCCTCAGTTAATTTGGCTGTTTCACACCTTTAGTTTTCGCAAACAAGGTGATATCAAAGTCAAAATCTAATTCTCAGTACAGATCATGACAGCCACAAAAGTTTCAAACACTACACATTATTGTACATTATCGGTTATTCCATTCCAATCAGATAGAGAAACATTTTAAAGCATGAACTTTCAGCTCTGTTTAGTCAGTATTCTGATGTTGTAAAAGACTGAAACAGTGTATTGGCAGCTTCCGCAGACAGAAAAATGTTATCTGTCCTGCAGAATGTGCACATGCCCTCTGGTTACATATACACTCTCACATATGGACACACATGTACACACACAAGAATGCCAGAGGAATTACAATGGCATCCCATTGTGCAGCAAAACACAAGAGCATGCCAGTGAAACAAGAGGGAGAAAGTGAGAGAAAGAGAGGAGGAATGTGTGTCTGCGTGGAGGGTGTGTCATGGTGCCTTTTTATCCACAGCAATTGTGTAAACAAATTAAAGTGTGATGTGAAGCAGCAGGAGCAAACAGAGCAGTAAAATAGGACAGTGTTGCTTTGTTATGCCACAGATGATCTAGAATCCATCTTCAGGCTCATCGCTGCACTTCCAGTGCTCTTGCAACATCTCAAAAAACACATGCGGTGACACCTTCACACAGACTGAGCCCTGACACAGTTGCTTTCTTTCTGCGTGTGTGTGTGTGTGATTTCAGATGCTCGTCCTCCTGCGCTCTGCCCCTCTGTTTACATCCATGCCTCCCTCCCCGCTGCTCCTGCTGCTGCTATCCCTCTTTCCTTCTTCTCTCCTCTTTCTATCTTCGCCATCGCTCTCTTGCTACACTGTCCACCTGCAGGGTTCATACAAGCCATGCAACACACACACGCTCACACACAAAGTAAGTATGGCTGTGTCCTACCTTCCACAGATGCCAGGAGGATAACAGTCAGAGAGATAACAGTCAACATCTGCAGCATGACCATGATGAGGCTGGCAGAGAGGAGGAGAGGAGAGGAGGATAATCTACTCTGTCACCTCTCCCTCTATGGCTGCCTCTCTTATATTACTCCCTCCCTCTCTTTATACCTCCCTGCCCATCTCTCACTCACTCACTTCCACCACCTCTCTTTTTCTGTCTTACCGTCTTTCCCTCCCACCCTCTGTTTTTCCATTTTCAGTCTTTCTCACGCTCAACAAAACTCCCTCCCTCATCCTCCTTTTCTCTCACACTCGTCTCACCTCTCACTCATCTCTCCCTTTTTGTCTCCTCACATAAGATGCCAAGGCTCATTTGTCTCATTTGTGGCTTTAAATTCCTCTTTCATCTCATCTCTTCTCTTGTTCTCAGTGCATTTCCTCTGCCAGGACAGGAACGGATTTAATTAGTTAAATGTTAAAATAATTGTGTTTCATGATCAGTCCTAGTTTGGGCATTTTAATGGTACAAAAATAATACATTTCCAAAGTGCCAAACACACCTAGAAATTATGATGACCTGCATTCATTAGCGGAACCCCCAATGACAACAAATGACTCACGTTGAAAAATGGCTGTTGTCCCCTCAGCCTCTTTTATCCCCCAGTGTTGAGAATTGAGATTTGTCATGTGAAATATCCTCTTTATCTGCTCATTTTCAAAGTGGCATTCCACAAGGTTCTATCTTCGGCATCTTGCTACTTTAAGTTTTTATGCTGTCTGCTCCCACAAGTTATTGACAAAATGTTTCTGTCATAGGCCAATGATATGTATGTGTTGTGTGTTCTACTCACACTGTAACTTGTTTTTCGGCTTCTGTCCCAAATCTCAGTTGTTGTAAATGTTACAAATTTGTCTTCAAACAAATAAAGACAAGTCTTACAAAGTTTAACTTGGCCCCTCTAACAAGGCCTCTAATTTTCAGAATAAATTCGGAAGTCTTGCAGCCAATATGAAAATGTTTTCTTGCTTTTATTTCTTTTTTTATTGTTTAGCTCATGCCAAGGCATTGCTGTCACCAAATAAATGTAATGAATTTGGTCAATAAAGTGGTTCAGATGTTTGAAAAATATGCCTTTAATACGTCTTTGCGGGCTCTCCCTGTTGGCCCATAAATCATAATAAATTGTTACCTTCTTTCCATAACAGAATACCACAAGAGTAAGCTGGAGGCTTCATCTGAGAGTCAAGCATCTATATCCATTACAGAGAGGCTTCAACAGAAAACAGCATCAGGGCCTGATTAAAACGAGGGAAACCAGAGAGACTGATGTGGGCCTGCATCTGGTTCTGGAACATATTCCTTTGAAGCAACCAAAAAACGACAAACACAGATGCAGAAATAAGACGATGCCAACAACAACTGTGTGTACAACAGTTGATCAGAGGACCGGTTTGATTTGACAGATACATATTTGTGTACTGTTCTTTGGCAATTGATAATAATAATTGAGTCTTAATTCTTATTAATAAGACATTACATGATAGTGTTGCTGTCGACTCTGTCAGGTCTGATACACATTACATTTACAAGAGAGTTATCACAGTCAATCCATTCACACTTACTGTGGACAGGAAACACTTCAATGTCTTTGATTGACTTTTCTTTTGCTTGACAAAAACCTTTATTCTTCTCACCTAAATCCCCCAAACCCTAATAAAACGAGGTCTCTTTAAAGGACAAATCCATTTTTTTATAGTGCTGTGAGCGTTTTTATGCATTTTTGGAGGGGTACCGTAGATAGTTGGCAGGAAATGATCAATTAACAAATATCCCTGGGCCTGAGATGAACCAGGAACACTGCAGTTCATGGGTGGCCCCAAGTATTCTTTGATATTATCTCAATAAACAGATTACCAGTTTGTATAAAGTTGTTTTTTTGTTTGACTAAACTCAGGCTGTGGTTGGACGGCAGAGAAACTTGTATCATCCCCCAATTTATTCTTTCTGGACGGACACCTTCATTTGACATTTGTAGTTTATGGTTTAGATAACTGAAAAAGTCTCTGTTATCAAATTCCATTATAGATATGCTGTGAAACCACTGACAAGGAGGCATGTTTTATGTTTGGCCAGTTATCTGTTTGGAGAACCAAGACATCTACAAACCAAAAAGGAATGTAGCATTCCTTGATGTTGTTTTTATATAATTTACAAAACCATCTGACTAAAATACTTGGGTGGCCCCATTTACTACAGAATACAGAAATAATGAGGGAGAAAATGCTATAAAAGTGTTCACAAAGTTATATAACAATACATAAATTACAACAATACATCGCATTTCATTTGCCTAAATGTTTAGAACACACTGTACTATTGAAAAAAACAAAGGCAGACACATTTCAAACAGGGAAATATTGCTTTAGACAGTAATGTGATGCATGTAATAGACAGATTTTGTGGGATTAGATCGAAATGGCCCTGCCTGAGTTCCTGTCGTCAACAGTATTCTTGAATAGATCCAGACAACAAGGCAACAAAATGTCACACATATCAGAACCGTGGAGGGGAAATATGTAGCCTGTGCACTGAGAGGTGAGGTTGGGGTAGAAATGTGTATATACATGTGTGTGTATGTGTTAGGGGTGGGGTTAACTGTTGAAGAATTTGACCCAAGAAATCAGGTTGGAATCTCAGCTGCAAAAACATACCTTCCACATGACTACAGGTCTGCTTGTGAGCCAGATGCCTTTTCTGCAGCGATTAAAATATCTTCTGTCAAGGTGTGCGGACTCGAGAACATGTGGGAAACCACAAAGTAGAAGCAGCAGCAGGGTATAGAGGAGCTGACAGGGGAACGTCTTCGTCTTTAATGGGGGCCTGAGACGTACAGTCTGTAAGGATGGTATGGCCTCCTGGAGATTGTGGGGGGGGGGGGTTGGTCATGCATGAAGCAACCTGAGAGATTTAACCATATCTGAGAGGGATTTCCAAGAGATCATTTGCAAGGAGAAAATACTTTGTGTAACAAAAGTGTATGATACAGAAAACAAGCTGCATGCAATACGGAAGAGACTTCAGTTTGATAGTAAAGTAAAGTAAGTGATGGTATATATCAAAAGTATTTTGCTGTTTAGACCCCTAAATGATGTCATCAGGATAAGAGAGGTGGGAAGCACACCGTAGAATAGGAATCCCCCCGGGGTCGTAACGCTAGTGGTGGTCGAGAATCCTGAATTGGTGATGAATGACTGGACTCGACCAGGGCTTCGGATGAAGACTGGAAGAGAATGGGATGAAAGCGGGTTAACTGGATCACTGAAATGACGACACCTGCATGATTGGCTGCATGAGATTGTGGCAGAATCTGATTGGCCACTGTAAACACCCACAATCACAGAGAGAACTGTGAGAAATGTGATTGAATATGAGAAAGTTTTCCTGACTGAACTTACATCCCAATTACATGAATAGTTCCAGTTCATTTGCAGTTTAAGTATGGATTAAACAGACCAGATATACTCCATGTTAGAGGTGTCATTATTGTAACTATATCAGAGTAGAACTTTATCAACACCATCACACAAGTTCACCTTCACTGTGGATTTAGGTTTGGTTGTGTGTGTGTCTGTTTGTGTGTCTGTTTGCCTTCATGTGGCTCTTAACAGCATTGACTTTACCTGATAAATGCAGGTTAGAAATTTTGTCTGACTTTTTCCCAGCACTGCAGAACTTGATCATGTCAAATGACCCTAAAGAGGATGAGATTTTTACACTCCACCCCTGCAGCTGCCGGCAGATCGGGCTTGAACACACCTTGTGATGTCACGTTTGCTGTGAGCCAATGGCTGTGTTTTGAGTGCTGATTGTAGACATGTGTGCCTCCACTCTGGAGTTTATTTATGTCACCTGCAGCAAACGCTGTGCTCCTTCAGTTCCTCTTGTGTTCCTCTGTGTGCAGGTATGTTATGCATGTGAGACTTCAGTAAATAGATGAACACTGAAAGGCCTCTCACCTCATCGAAGTTGTATGCCTGCACGATAAATTTAAGATTCACGTGACTATCTGTATAATGGTCTCTCATTTGATTGTGTGTTCCTCTGTCCCAGGGTCCAGGAGCCACAATCGCAGGACGGAGTAATGTTCCTTGAAGACTGAAGGTGTCGCCAGCCTTGTCCTCGATGATGATTTAGACTGCAATCGAGTAACACTGAATGCAACTATGACTGTGAGGAAGCAACCAACCTGTGGTACAGATGACCTTTGGCCTCCTCCATTGCAAGTAGGACAGTGACTTTCTGTCTTCCCCCGCCTTTTTCCCCAAATAGACATTAGAATATAATACTTTTTATATTGAAATTGTATGCTTTTCCATGATTTTAGTATTTATGAAATAGAGAGAGCCTTTTAACTTATCCCGTGGTGTTGTCTTTTGGACATTGCTCAGACTGGTTTGTCAAACAAAACCTTCAAAATCACTGCAGTGGGTGTATTACATAATCACTCTGGTGACAAGGCTCCATGAATGAGAAGGACAACATAATGTTGGTCAGTCCACCACATTGGCCAAACAGAAGTCTTTAAGACACTTGGATATCCAGTTTAATCAGCCAGAGCATCTGTTAAGATCAAATTGTTTGGAAAAAAAAATCATTTTTATTTTTTGCCACTGAATATGAATACAATCTGATTCCATGACAAAGCTTCTAAAAAAGGTATTTTTCAATTTAAATGCAAAACATTTTAGAGTCCAGAACAAATATGATTTGTTGGATAAGTTTTCAAACTACTTCACCAGCCCAAATATATCATGTGGTGCAACCAAATACTAAAATTGTCTTTGTGAGCATATCGGCTGACGTTACCATTTAACTTAGAGCACTGAGGTTTAGTACAGTCTCACAAAGCTGCTATGGTTGTACATTCTTAAGGCTCTATTTTAATGGCCTAAGTACATGGTCTAAAGCTCATGGCAAAAGTGCATGTAGTGTTTGTCCAAATCCACTTTTGCAAAATTAACAGCCGGAAAAAAGGTTGCTGCGCCAGGTGCAAAAAGGTTCAAAAGGGTTTTGCGTAGACTTGTGATTAAACGTGGGTGTTTTGAGTGAACCAACCAGGGTGCCATCTCCCATTCCCTTTGAAAGCCAAGCACGCCTAAACTTTGGTATATTGTGATAATGAAGCCAGATCTACCAGGTATGAGGGAAAATGCTTCTCTGCAGAGAAAACTGTTTAATGTTGTGCAAAAGACCATCTGTTGTATTTTATCTAAAGGCAAATTAATCTAACATTAATCCATACCAGTTATGCCATTTTAATTTGTTTCATGAGTCTATTTGAAAAGTGTTAACAGCCGAGTAAGTATTTAAGCCTGATTTTGATGAAGAGAGCCACAGGATCAAAGTTTATTCTGTTAGTATGTCATTTTCCATCAATATGAATAAGGCCCATCAGTTTCATTCTTAATGTTCTGTTCTGGACAGGGGGAGGCTTTACACTTTTCACATGAGATTTCCTTAATGGAATGTCTTTATTGACTGTGGAAATAAAATGATGTCCAATCCTTGGACGTGCGATTATGTTTTATTAGAAAGGATCCAATCCGTGTTCCCTTGTGCCAGTCAGGAATTCCTCTGCAGGGAGTTGACTGGTGTTCCTCTGAAACCAAACATCTGTGCTTCTCACAGCTCTGTTTCATTACTGCCCGAAACACTAAACCCAGAAAATCAGCTTAAACACACTCAGGCATTTATTTAAAAAATCCCCACTGCAAAAACTTGAGGGGTCTTGACTGTGCCTAGAGTGTGAAACCGAACACGGTGGAAGTGTTTAACAAATTCTGCCAGGAAGAAAAACACACATCTCAGGTCAAGAGACATTCAGATACATTCCTAATGCAAACTTAAGGCTCAGTGTCGCCATGTTGAGCTTGATATTTAACTCACTTTTTCACCACTGGCTTGTTTTGTACCGAGTACATGTGCAAATTTGCTGCAGCGGCCAATTTGGGTTTTGAAAGAAATTATGATTATATAATTAATTTACTAACTTTTAGAATAAATGTAATATTCATAAAGTTGGGGAATTAAAGCCATTGTGCTATACCATGATGTCAAATACAGAAACCATCTAGGTACACCTGTAACTGATTTATATTAGCCAAGTCAATGTTAGTTTAATGCAAACATATCTGTCAATTTATTCAATGAAACAGCATATGCAGTAAGTTTGTGGTCCATCAGTGTCAAGGATCCTTATCAAAAATAGCAGCCAATATACTAAAAGATTATTAAACTCTCAAATGGCTGCAAACTTCTTCGTGGGTCCACCTATAATCAATGCAGAGAATAATTTACCTGAAGCACACAAATTAAATGGGGTACAGACATTTGGAGGACAGAATGCTAATTCTCCTGAAGAATCTTTAGCCTTTTTTATACATACATGTCACTGTCTTTTGGTCCAAGTGACATACCAGGAGGTGAATTGGAATAAGTATAACTTGGCCATACTCCTGCAGCCTAATATCTCCACTAAGACTACCACAATGAAAAAAATTCTAGTTAGCCAAATATTTTATATAAGAATATAAGAAATTGCTGTGCATTTCAAAATGTGAAAATCCAATCTGCCAATATGACATACCATCGTTTCCAGTGCTAGGAGTAAAGTCTAAATACGAATTGACGGCTCAGTACCGTGGACAGTTCCTGCCTCCCTGGAGGTCCAAGGATCAGCACCATGGACAGAGCTCTTAATAAACTCACTGCAGAGGGTTAAAGCATCCGACACCTGGACTCCACCCACTCAGGTGTTTTCACCTCCTCTCAGGATTATGTGGGTGTGGACATCTGGGATGGTTTCCTTGTTGCACTACTGTAGTTTGAGTTTTAATGAAGCTCGCCTGCAGTTTTTCACATTTGCAAGTTTTGAATGATCAGACACTAATTTCTTTCATCCAGTAATCACTGCTGCTAGTTTCCCAAGATAAACATCCTGACATTACTGTCAGCTACACAATCCCACACTGTAATCATCACTTGATGATAATGGGAACATGCGATATTCAGTAGAAGCTTCTACTCTGTTGATGGAGTCCTGCAAGGATCTTTTCTGAAGAACATTGGGTCACTTCAAGGTTCAGTGTGTAGAATGTACTGATGTTAAGTGGTGAAGTTGCATGTTGCAGCTCAATACCCCTCACCTCAGCCTCCCCTTCCACACATGAGAGAACCTGTGCCTTTGGTTGTCATAAACACTCAAAAGGTGTTTGTCCAGTCTGGGCTTCTGACGCTCATGACATAATGGAAATATTTGTGTTGCAAATCTCATAATTTACCAGTAAATCAAGCTGATAAAATGATCATGAGAGAGCTTTTCAGTCTGACAGAAAGTTAAGGTTTAAAACTTAAATTTATTCCATTGTGCACTAATATTCAAATATTTACAAATAATGTACACATCCCCACGGATGTATTCAAAGTATGAAAACTCTTAATAGCACATTATAGAAAAGCATTTACAAACATCAAATGTAACTTTTGGACAGAGAGTGACTTAGAAAAGTACCAGAAAGTTTTCCACAGTAAAATGTGTCCCTGTGATGGAGAGTTTCTTGGATGTTCTGATTGGTCTTCTGAAGCAGTCTTTAATCTAGAGTGCCTAGAGATAATAAAGAAGAGTTAGGACGTGTACTGGCACATACTGAGGTCAATAAATTCTATTATCCTTGTAAACATCATGAGTATGCTGAACTGTACTCCTATGGGATTTAAACTTAATGTAATTACAGAACTATATCAGATTTGAATGTTCTGTACTGAATGTAACTTGCAGTGTGAACATAGGCTGGTTTATTCTTCTGCATAGGATCGACATAAAGCCTTTGTTTCCATGCTGGTCTGTCTGTGTCGCTCTGTAATTGCCAAACGCAAGGTCCAAGTGAGGTTTCTATGCTACTGTGTGTGTGTGTTCTTCCAACAAGCAGGTCTTTTGGGAGTTAGAGCTAATGAATGTTGAGCAATTATTGAAATAACTGTAAATTACACAGATTAGAGAGAGGACATCAAAGCAGATGAGGTGTAGGACCATATATTGTGGCCAAAGGAGGGAGAGTTTTGTGTTATTGCCTGGCCACTGAAAGACATGGACAGGCTACCATGTGTAACAGGTCTTGTGGTCTGTGTTACAACAACATGAAGTAATATTTCTAGTGAGGCTCACATCTGCCTAGGAGGAAGGCTACTGTATGGATTACACAGAAACGGGTTGATTCAATGCAGAATTATAAACTAAGATTCAGGCTTACCTTCAAGAAATGCAAATTCATCTATGGCCTCTATTGCGTTGTCTTTGGAGGGAAAAAAAAGTGAAGAGAAATTATTTGAATGAGACAAATGACAAGAGAAGATACAAGAGTTAAAACTGCTTTATAAGTTTCAGTCCCTTTGCAGCAGCTCTAATAAACATGAGATTTTGCAAACAATTGTATCAAAACAATCAAAGCCCCTGTACAATAACTGGGTAACAGGTTCAGTTTAAAGTCATTAATAATTGTGCAAAATCACTTCCATCACTTGAACAACATCAACATCATAAACCTATTTTCAAGCACAGTCATTTGAAGAATTTCTTTACAGTGCTTACCCAAGTCTTTTCTTTGCAAAGTTTTCCTCTTCCCTTGCTGGGCGTACACCAGGGCGTCTTTGGCAATCATCTCAACAAACAGCTCCTAAAAGAAAGAAAAACGTTTTTATTATTATTATTCAAAACTAAAACAAAGTCAAAAAGCTGCAGACAGCGATCAACTTGTCACACTCCCTCTTTCACAAACACCTTGGGGCATCCATCACAGTTGGACTGGTTATGGGCGGCATCAGGAGAATCCCAGTTTTGTCAGTGGTCCAGTGGAGTGTGAAAAAAGCACATTTTAACCCATCATAACACAGCTAGTTATGCTCTGGACTGGGATACACTTTTCAGCAGGCTGTGTACTTGTCATTTGAGTGCGTCTTTATTGAACAAAAAAAATGATCAACCCTCATCAGCCTGACTCATGTTGCTCTGTGTCAGTACTTTTTAATTTCTGCCTGTGTTCTGTTGATTTGCTGAAGAGAGAATTTGATGTACAGTTCAAGTTCATGTACAAGTGATCTGGCCAACTGTCCACAACACCTTTGTAGGTGGAGTCTCTATCAAGCACTTTTTGTGTGTAAATACTGGTATCTTGATATTTAAACAGGTATGATTTTGGTATAGTGACAGCGCTCATTTTTTGTTTAGGTTATTAATTAAATTGAGATTTCTAAAAAGCTAAAAATCAGTCAGACTGGAGTCTGGGTGGATCCTATGGTTCTCCCACCAGCTGACTGGTGGGTGGTTACATAGGTAAAGACCCACAGAAGTTATATCTTCCTGGGACCTGAGCTGGCTGGTTGGTGCTGGGGAGGCCTCCTGGATGGGAAGTGAGATGTCTTCGAAATATAAAATACAGGGTTGGTTTTATGTGAAGCACTTTGTGTTACTTTTTGTTTAGTATGAAAAGTGCCATATTGATAAAGTGAGTGATAGAACATGTTAAACATTAAGTTTTCTGTAAACTCTAACTTGATGTACAGTATGTAATACAACATTATTATTGATTCTAATGATATTTACTACTTTCAGTAGTTTCTAACATTTCTTCAGATCTTCAGTGGCTGCAGTTGGAGTTTATACTTTACACTGATCATATATTATGAAGAAACGTCATCAGTCTTTAGATATATGTTGACAACCTTCCTCTAAATGTGAGCTAGTATCACATGGGCAGGATCCGTGTGCGCTGCTGCGGCTCTTACTGTGGCTTTAGCGATGATGAACACCGACTCCTGGCTGGCGAGGGACACGTCTGGGTCGGTCTTCATCAGCGCCTTGATGCGGGTCAGCGGGAGTTTGGACAGCCGGCTGTGGCTCACTGCGGCCGGGGGGCCTGTCTGCTGCTGAGCGCTCTCCTCCTCCGCGCCGCGGCTCTCCTCCTCGCTCCCGCACCGGTCATGGTCGAGCTCCGTGGGGGTGACAGGCGTCGCTACTGTTGCAGCCATTGTTAACACAAAAGTTGAATATATGAAAATACACACGAACTAGTGGCTCCAGTTAACCTGCTACATGTCGCACATGACAATAACATGCGCAGCGCCGCGTGTGTTTCCGTCCTATAGGCCTGCTAGCCACTTCAAGCTCCGCCTCTTCCTCTCCCGCCAACTAATCCTCGTCGGTAATTGGACAGATTAGAAATAAGGAATTCCCTATTGGCTAGAATTAGACGTCAATCTAAACAGGTTCTCTTCTTGGGGCATTTTTTCAGTCACCCAGATGGAAACAGACCCGCCTCTCTCTCGCTTCTGATTGGCTTACCCTGGTATTCTTCCCCACATCTAACCAATCATCACTCTTCATGCTAAAATCCAAACCAATCAGAGGCAGGGGATGGGCGGGTCTCCTTCACCGAGGGTGGGATAAAATAAAGCTGAGTGGATGTGTCACAAGCAATATTGATATTTAATTGTATTTTCAAAAATAAAAAGAAGAATATATATTAATTGTGTGTATATATATATGCTATATATATATATATATATATGATATATATATATATATATATAGTTCAGACATGTGCTCATTGACACGTGTAGCAGACGTAGAGCAACATTTTCATTCATTTGAGTTTGTGGTCAAGCAACTAATGGAAGTTGAATATAATCAATAGATCTGTTCTCTGTGAGGGAGATGCTAATGCTGGTGAAGCAGCAAAGACTTGAACTTGATGATAATTGAATGAAAATACTGCCCTACCTCTTAATTTCATTTCCCCCATTTCCTCTAACAAGTTCAATTTTTTCTGCTGATTTTAAACAACTCCCCGAATTTGTTTTAAATAATATTCCTGTGAGTTGACTATTATTTTTGACAATAATTAAAGAAAAGGATCAAAATTAATCTTAAGACTGCAATCTTAATAAAGGTCAGTGGTGAAGTAAAAAAAAAAACAACATACATTAGTTTCAAATATATGTGAAATATATGAAATTATAAGGTTTTTATCACGATGAGCTTGATCATCAGAATCAAACTAATAAGCCTTGTGTTTATGCAGCATTTCCATCATTTCAGAGGAGCTAATGAACCAACCACTAATACACTGCTAATAGGATTGTGAGGAGTGACTTAGGTCTGTGAAGCTCCTGAGTCACAGTCAGGTGTTACAGCCTGAGGGACAGACATGAAGGAACCGCAGCTCCCAGGTAACATTACACACTCTGCGCTTTTCCATATCATTTTAATGTGTTAAATCACATCATTTTTAGAGGGCATTATGAATTATACTTAATGGCTTTATCAATAGTTTTGGATCATTTAGTAATGGTTTATAGATTAGGTATACACATCAATAAAATAGGCTGGATTGCTAAATTCAGATAAATACTTGTGGCTGGTCTTTGTACTTCAGCTTAACAACACATGCTTTGTATTTGTATCTCTTTAAATCATCTCTTACATTAATTATTGTTAAAACCTTCCATTAATGACTTATTAAAATGTATTAATGCTGCCTTGTGGCCTATTAAAAAGTTAGCATGAACCCTTCTCTCTATATATATTCCAACATCTAACATCTAACCTAAATGATTTATTAATCATTGATGAAGCCGCTACCTTATTATACATTATATCATTCCATACAAAAGCTCGTTATCAGAAATATATTTTATAATATTTCTGAATATGCTGAAATGAAATGGAGAGGTTTTGAATGGCTGCTGAGAACATTTTATCCAGGGAGAGTTGTTTACAAGGTAATTACAGTACTACATTTACGACTTAATAGTAAATAGTGTTTTACTGATTTCAAGTGTTTTGAATCATCTGCCTGTCTGGATAAATTCAGTGTCAGTTGTCTGTGTTTGTGTAACAAGAAGTTTAACCCTAATTTGGAAGCTCAGTTAATTCATGTTATGCCGTCAAGGTAGCCTCTATCAGTATAAATAGCCCTCTGCATTCAGACATGACCCACTAATACTGTATCTAAAAGTAATCCTGTGCACTGAGCTGACCATCTTCTAAATTTAACTCACAATGACCAGGAGGAGACACAGTGTTACCCTTTACATACACAGTTTAATAGTTATGTTTAAGGATGATCACTGTTGATAATCATTACCTGCTTTATTTAAATGTTAAACACCTTCCTAACATGTGCTGAGAAGTTATATATAATCAGCTTAAAACACCCACACAGCAAGTCCTCATGGATTGACAGTTTAACATGACCCTATCATTTGGTTCTTTGGGTAATGTAACACCATAATTCAATATTTCACTCAAAAATGAAAGAAACAGGATGTAAGGTTTGCTTTTTAAAAAAGAAGCTGCAAAACACTGTCCTGTTTGGGACTCAAGAACTGTGTCTCAAGAATAAGACTTGTGTTTCCTAGAACAGAAGGAAAACAGGAAAGATAAACACATCCTGCTTTTCTGCATCATTAAAACATGAAAGCATGCATGTGGAAATTAATTTAACAATTAAATACAAAAAGCAGAATGACCACTGCATCCTGACAACAGCTCATTCTTACATTGAGTAATGTCTGAAACAAATAATTTAACATTAGTAAATATCCATATATGTAAATAAACTTAAAATGTAAGTTACCAGTTATTGTTTGTCTCCATACATGATGATGTGCATCATCTTCACCACGTTACAAATGTAAGATGTGAGGCTGATGTAAGAGACCAGACGTTTTACCTCATTTAGGACAAAGTGAGTAATTACGGAGGTTAATCTCATTATCAATGTCCTGTACATGCAACACTCACACGATGTGTCTACACAAGATTTGTAAGAGTTCAGAAGTGCAACACTGATTACTGAGAAAAAACTTACAACACAACTGATTGTGCCAAAATAGGTGCCTATCTCCAAAGCATTTGTTTCAGCCTTTTTCTTTTGCACTGATGCCAAACTCTTTCTTGTTTCTTAAATTTGTTTTTAAGCCATCAAAGCACGGCTATGGCCAAAGCAGAAATCGAGCAAAATATCCAACGATGAGCCCCAGAAAGAGGAAAAGGTGATCAAACCACCGGCCCCCGCCACCAAATGTGCCTTACCACAACTGACCCAAGCCGAGAGACTGAGACAGTCGCCCTTCGAGAGGATCGTCTATGACATGGCCCACAATGAGAAGATTGTCAATGAACTAATGCTTGGTCGAAGGGTTGGCTTCTATGAGCTGCGAGGAGAGATTGGCCAGGGCAACTTCGCCACAGTCAGGCTGGGCATCCATGCCCTCACGAAAGGTCAGGAACTATGAGTTATTTGAGTTTCTGTTAATGCTTAAGTCTGGATAGGATCCATGTTTACAGGTTCATACTTTGAAGAGTATATCTTTGAGAACTTGGTAAAAAATAATAAAGTTAGAGGTTTGGTTATATGACATTGAATCCCCTGATCTTCCATGACCCCAGCAGTGAATTTCTTTTCTGTTATGAAAACTCGTCCCATGTAAGTGTCTGCAGACAAGGAGGGTTCTTGATCCATTTTTGTAAAACCTTCGAATAATACTCAGTAATCTTCCAAGTAAATTAGCTGCCAATGAAATGCTTTCTCATATGTTGCTGTCGTATCCACCTCCTTATAATCTTGTATGTATAAATCTCATAAACATTGTCCTTTATTTTCATCACTTCATCAGACCCTATGTAAACCACTTTCTCTGACATGTGTCTCTCCCTCCTCTTCTGTCTCAGAGAGAGTAGCCATCAAAGTCATGGACAAGCTGCGCCTGGAGAAGAAGAGTCAGTCTTTAACGGCCTCAGAAATCAGCTGCATGGAGAAGCTGTGCCATCCCAACATAGTGCGTCTTTACGAGGTGATCGAGAGCAGCAGGAAACTGTACCTGGTGATGGAGTATGGCAGCGGTGGAGATCTGTTCTCCCGGATCACCACCAGGGGGAAGCTGAACGACCTGGAAACCAAACTGGTCTTTGCACAAGTCGTCTCTGCTGTTAAACACATGGTGAGCGTCACTGTTAATTATCATCTGACCAACAGAATGAATTTGTTCTCATTTACTTGACTTTTAAAGGTATTTATGATGCATATGAATCATGTGAAAAGTAGATAAAAGATCAAATTATGGCTCAATCTGTAAATGTTTGATCATAATAATTTGAGGCAGGATATATTCACTTACATACTTTTTAAAGTTTGAGACTTTATTGTCATAGAGCTAGTAGAGAGTTGAGGGGAGATGGAGGGAATGTGATGTGATGTTTCTCAGTCAGTCTTGAACAGGGGATGTTGTAATTTTGTGATAAGCATCTTAAAACGGTAGGAATGGTGGGCAGCATAACTGAGGATTTTGAACAATGAAAGAAATGTCAAAACATTTGACTCTTATCTGCCTTTGAACGCTTTCTGATTGTATGATTATAAAATCACTCACAAAGACCAACATTTTACAATATTTTTGTATAGCCCATACTCACAGATCACAATTAGCCTCATAGGGCTAAGAATATGTACAAGGTGTGACCTCCTCTGACCTTAACACTCGACCAGCGAGAGAAAACAAAACAGAGGGGGGAAAAAAATCACAGAAACCTCAGTCACTGTGAGGGATTCCTCTCCCAGGACGAACAGAAGTATGTTCTGTGAAACAGAGCAAATCAATGAAATAACACTATTTAAAACATTCATGAGAAAAGACAGTGTATAGCATAATTGGAGAAGAGTATCGGTGTTTAAAGCATTTATGCAAAAAGAAACTGTCTGACAGGGATGGGGGGGCAGAGCAGCGAGGACATTTGTATTAAACAAAACCATCTGAGATTCAGTTGTAATCAAGTGTTAATAATAGTGTTGTACAGCGGTAGAAGTACTACCTAATACACGAACAACAATATGAAAAAACATGAGAACTACATTGCACCCTGTAATTTTTGTAAAAGTGTTTTCCTAAATATACAAATTCTGCAGAAATGAATCATGTGAGTGACACTTAAATTAAATATTATGAAGAAATAATATAATGAGATTGATGTAATAATAATTTCACTCTTTGCTGCTGAGTCTTATTCATTTTAACTGAGGGGTTCCCAGCCTAGAGCCTCAAGCAACCATTTGACTGAAACCATTTGAGAGGTTTAGAGGGGAAATTACACTTGGGTTGAACTGATGACGAGTCCTCGACTTCTAAAATATGGCGCAGGGTCCAGAGCCAAGAGGATTGCAAACACTTGTTTCATAGCTCTGCAATTTATAAGCTTACTCTGTGTTTTTATATTAAGTTCTAATTGGAAAATATCCCCATCCCTTGCAGATGTATAAAGTCAACTATTGTCCAGTAAACAGATATTTACTGAAGTAGAAGATAAAGTAAAAACATTTCAAACCTGTTCAATCATGTCACATGATTTGAATACATTTACTTGCCTTTCACTCATCAATGACCATTTTCTTCCTGAAAGGTAAACATATCCTGTAAAAAAAACAGTTCCCATGCTCACCTTTAAACTGTTTTTTGTGATATTTCAGCATGACAACAACATCGTCCACAGAGACCTTAAGGCAGAGAACATCTTCTACACGACCAGCTACTGCATCAAGGTCGGAGATTTCGGCTTCAGCACAGAGAGCTGCCCCAATGAGCTCCTCACCAATTTCTGTGGCTCTCCACCATACGCTGCTCCTGAACTGTTTAAGGAAAAAGGCTACATTGGATGCTACTCTGATACCTGGGCTTTAGGTATCCTCTTGTACTTCATCGTGACGGCCACAATGCCTTTTTATGGAGACAACCTGGGGAGGTTGAAGCGCTGCATCCTACAGGGGGCTTACAGCATCCCTTCCTATGTGCCTGACCCTTGCCAGCTAGTCATCAAGGGCATGCTGCGGCCTGTGCCTCCTGATCGTTCTACTCTCACACAGATTATAAACAGTGCTTGGCTGAGGGGGATCGAGTACCCTCACCCGTACGTCTCGTTGCCCTTGTCCCCGGCCCACTTTGCCCAGGCGGGACAGGCTCTGTGTGTGGAGGAGCAGGAGGTAAAGGGTTTGCTTTGTGATCTGGGTATCGTGACAGATCATTTGCAAAATAATCCCTGTTCGGACTGCAGGAGCCCATTGACAGGGACCTACCGGATCCTCCTCCATCGGGTCCAGAAGAGGAGGTCGGTGGAGGCTGTAGGTTATTCAGCGCTTCATCCTGATGAGTACGGAAGCCTGAAGAACTGGTCTGCAGCATCTGTGAAAAAACACACCCCCTCTGCTGTCTGTGTTTTACTATAATAGTAAATAGCAGGACTGCTTTAGCTGAGGCCACACAGGCCCTTTATCACATACAGATGTGCCCATTTGCATGTGTTCAAGTTGTATTGTGCAATATTGGACTGAAATAGTGCCGGACAGAGGTTGAGGCTAGTTGCAGGGTTCTTCTGTCCCACAGTGTAAGTCAATTAGAACTCATAGAGTGTGAGCCCTGGATTACTGTTCTGATTATATCTCCAACAACAAGCTCAGGGAGGCAAAACATGCATCTGTACAGCTATGAGCATCTTCCAATCCCTTTTAGTCAGAGCATAAATCTACTGAACTAATCCAAGGCCACAGGTAATCCTAATAACGTAGACCCTGAGAACATGCTGAAACCTGAGACTAAGAGGGGGAAGGAGCGCGTCATGGAAAATAAAATACGAGGCCAGAATGGGAGACTTTTAAAATGTGAAATGTTTTCTTTGTTTCATAAATGATCTCTAAAATGCCTTCATAGAATGCAGATATTCTCAATATCTATGTTGGGTAATAGGCTTATATTTTAAGGCAACAAATTCATACTGTAACATTATTTTAACCACCTGGTGAAAGGATGCAAAATGGTTCTAAATGGTTTTATTTATTTTTTTCACTTTCTGTAACATTGCTAGATAGGGCAATATCCAACATTTTAATGGATAAAATAAATCATGGATCTTAATGGAAATCCAAATCTGGATGTAATTATTTTGATTGTGGTTTCATATGGGCACAGTTAGCCCTGAGGAAGTATGTACTCTGAGTGCTGTTCTAGTTATTAAAGTGATCAGTGAGGCCAAGCTGATTAATCACAATAAAGCAGGAGGTATTTTAATACAGGAAAATATTATTGTCGATCTTTATCTGCTGAATACAAGGCTCCAGTCAATATTTACCAACAGATTTTCTGGGACTTTAAAATGACTCCTTACATTTTAATGAGCCCTGAAGTTTTGCTCTGGAGCCAGTGTGCAGAGATTCTGGAGCCTTCTCACGCACATTTGATAACAGAGCTGATAACAAAAGATGATGCATCTGTGCATGTGTGGAATCCACAAAATTATCAAACATTTTATTTCATTCCAATCTGTGATATCAAAATTTGAAAACTCTTCCTCCACATTCAGTAAAGATCCCACAGTTCCACTTTGTGTGAATTCTCCTGGAGGGCACAAAAGTCTGTGAGAGCCAGATATCACTCTTTGCCTGATAACATCACCTTTATTGTCAGTTCTGCCAGTGTCTGCACACCCCTGATGAGTTTCTGATATGCTCTATTTTTTACAATGAAATGTTGAACCCAACGGCTTTTTGAAATGTGAACACACTGTGTGGGTGCAGACAATGAGACACTGATGTCCCAATGGGCACTAAAATAAGTCTTGACATGCACTTTGTTTATTTAGGAATCTTATCTTTGAACAAGATTCACTAGTGGGAAAGTCTGTGTTGCCACTTACGCAATATTTCAACTGCAACGCGATTTTCAGGAAGGAAGCCATCAATAACGTTAAATTAGACATTGAAGTAAAAATTAAACATCAATGTGCAGCATCTGATTAAAAATAAAAACACTATTGAGAAAAGAGCTGATGCATTGATGGAAAGAGAGCAAGTTGTTTATTCCAGAGTAAATAATTTACTTAATGTGATCAAAGGTGGATGTCATGACATCTGGCTCAATCTGGTTCATTAAACATACGCAAAAACTTTAGCTCAGCAACCCACGCTTGAAACCAAAACAACAGATTCAAACCCTCCTTTTCCCATTAATAAGACAATGGAATGCATAAATAAAAGTGAGTTTTTTTTAGTTAGGAAAAAATACCTTTTTATGAATTAATGCCTTCTCACAACATTTTAACAGCCTTTGCCACAAAATACTGAATAAGATTAGGGACTAAAACCATTAATCAAATATTTACCATTCAACAAATACTTTATTTTCTGTTCTTCTTTCCTTTCTGTTACAATCATACAGACTGTTTTCTCTCCTTCCTTCCTGGACAACCAGTCAAAGTTGTTTGTACCTTGGCAGTGGAAGAGCAACCTTGAGGATGTAGGGAAAAAAATCACTTGATAAAAACAATAGTATTATTATTATTTATTGAAATTTCAGTGGCTCTCGTCCAGTGAATGACTTTCCATGGTACAAAATTGAGAGCTAAACTGTCTGAGCTTAAAAAATAAGTGGTTGGTCAGGGGTTCATCCCACACATGATGGAAGAGCAGCAGACTGAGGCCTCATATGGAGCTGGTTTGGGGTGAAGTGGACAGAAACTGAAACATTTGTGGAAACTCCTGTAAAGGTGTTGGGACAATCTGTCTGAACAATATTTAATATCCTTTACAGAAAGAGTGTAAAGTGTGTTGATGTAGAATGGCACTCAGCACAGTGCATTCCTCCACTATGGGCTATACTGAAGGTAACCTTGCTCACAAACACTCAAATAAACCAACAAACCAACATAACCTTGGAGTAATTAACCAAAAACTCACTATAAAACGTCCAAAAATTCAGATTTAATTTAGTTAAATAAGAAGATTCTATGATTCCTTAGTGTACTGAAATATAAATCACATGATTAAATCAACTATTTATTAGCCTTATAAGATTCAACTTTTCAGTATATACTCACATCACTTACATCATTTATACTGACAAGTATATAAAATACTACCTAATTTTTCTGTGCATCATGTAGCTTGTGATCATTTCACAAAAATACAACAAATTTACCATTGAGCACAGGGTCCCTGGTTGAGAAAAGACCACAGGATTAGACAGTGAGGGAACTAAGATTACTTTTGTGTTCCCTATAGAGGCCTGCAGGTTTCTGAAAAAAGATCTTGTTGTTAATTGAGCCCTGCAGCTTGTGGGATAGGGATTCAATGTTGAAAACATTTCATCACTCATTCAGACAGATTCTTTCAACAGAACTGACTGGAGAGATTTAAAAATGTCTCCAGACATTACCAAAAGGGGCAGGGCATCATGGTGGCCTGGGGGCAAAGATATGACCCATCTAGACTGTTGATAATGTTACTGGTTCAAATACAACTAAAAATTGTTGGGGTTTTTGCAGTCGTCTCAGTAACTTTCTCTTCCCATTTCCTATTTGATACTCTAAATACAACAAAAAAGAAATTATAAGACCAAAGTCCAGCTGCCTATTATTTTTAACTGTTTCACTGTTTCAACTGTTCTCACTTTACTTCAGTTTTAGTTATGTTGTTTAACTTTTTAAAGATCAGACTTTAATTTATCATTTTACTTTTCCAGTATGAATTCACCAAGAACTGTCTTAGAATAAGTATTTGGGACACAGCATGATAATCACACTGCCATGTAAGAGTGTCATCAAACCTATACCAGCACAATTAGGGAAGTGAATTTATGATTTAGAAATTGTGAACTTTCATACACAGAACTGATTAAATTTGACATATTAATATTTTCTCAGTGTAATCATATATTATAGGAAAAAGCATCTGTCAGAATGTGCACCAGTCATATAGAAACTGAACTAAATTGCATGTGGGAGTGCCTGGGACTGTAAATCATGAGAGAAAGACACTAGACCATGATAGAAAACATCAAATCAAGAATTTTTATGAGCAGAGTTACAGTTATCCTTGTTTTTCAAACCATAGAGCATCAACAAAGCACTAATAAGTGACCAGAGTGGCACAGTTGACCCTGTTTTTGGTTCAGTGGATGAGAATAATGACTTGTGGAATGTGGAAAAGATGTAACATTGACTGAGACCCATAAGCTGTTTCTCTCCTTCTCACCTCAGGTATTTACAGATTGTATCTTCACCTTCAGTGTCTGTCCTGCATTCCAAAAGACAAATGGATATGTTTAATTCACAAAGTGAGGATTATAGACAGGTCAGATCTTGCTCCAGTTGCTTAAAGGGGGATTACAGTATTTTTCAGGCTGGGCCCTATGAAGTCCTTTGGCATCAGTTCAGTAGATCACCCCTGCTGGAAGCTGAGACACAATTAGTTTCTAATGCAATCAAACTTGAATCAACATTTTACTCTGAAGTGAACTGGATTACAAAACTGTTTAGACAAATGATTTATCCAATGATACGTATCAGTGTGAGATATGTTCAAAATCCTGATATAGACTGACTTGAAAACTCTCTTTAATCCAGCCGTGTTGGACTGGATGTCTGAGAATCTGGCAGATTTTTTGCTGTTGACTCAAACTTTTACAATCAGTGTCATTGTCTAACCGATGAAAACCAGCTATGTTTCTTGTGAGTGAGTTGTGAAAACATTGCTTTAAAGTGTTAAACTGGATTGTATTTTCAGTTTCTGCCACAGGTAAGTTGTTACTGGAATAAAGCCGGTTTTGTTTCTTTAGCATCCAGTAAAAACATAACCTTGGTGGAATTGTGCAACCGATTTTTCCTTCCCTACATGTCAACCATGTGATCACCAAGTCAGGACAGAAATAATTCAAAACAGCTTGATGTTAACTGTCGTGTTACCATATATTCTGATTAACTATTACAGAATGCAGAGTATTTATGTTTCTTCTTTATTTGATATTGGGAGACACAAAGCACAATTAGACTGCTGATACAAAAATATATCTTCTGTGTAAAAAAAAAACCTATACCGTACATGCACACAGACTTATACACAGGCACATATACACACTCATATGTTTCATAGCTGCAAAATAGTAGCTTATTTGTAGCAGGCGCTACTTATCACAGAGTAGTGAACAGCAATGGCTCATATACATGAAATTTGCTATACTGGCTATAATTTTGAGCAAATGATATGTTTGTGTAATAGTGTACATGAGATACATTTGTATCAATAGCTAATCTACTGAAACCTAATACATATGACTCTGGGTTATATACGATGCCTGACGGGGAGGGAAAACAGCTGCTCTCCTCTCCCCTGTTCTTCTCTTTTTTTTCCCCCATTCACTGGTCTGCAAAGTCAAAGGTTATCAGATGAAAATTAAGTCAGTGGCTAACTTTGTCTATGAGGCATTAAAGTATATTATGTAAGAATGTTGTGTCACCTTTTTACCTAATTCTGCATTTGCATATCCACGGTCCTGATCAGCTCCTGGACCCAAGAATCGTGTGGATTGGCACAGACAGTCCGTTGTTTCTTATGAGATGGCTTCTTCTTTAGCAGAAACCTGCACGATTGAGTGTAAAAGGATTTAATGATATCAAGCTTACACATGTTTCATAAGCAGCCAAAGGCACTTAAGAGTGCATGTTTCATAGTGCTGTGTTTATATCCCTCACTTCCTCAGAAGGCAGGCTGTTTATTTTCCCATCAATCTTTGCCAAATTATACTACAAAGTAGGAAGTTCTAACAATGTGCAAACTAAATGCTCGGCGACGGCCAAAAATTGAAGGGATAACATTTGTACTTACACAACAGCTCTGATGTAGCAATCCCCATCTGTTTCCTGCATCATGTAACTTTCAATGTTTCTCTTTGCATTACCCCTCATCCTCTTAACGTGCCCGAGGCAGCAGTTACTATAGGAGCCTGGAGAGAGATATAAGGTTACGTTGAGTTAAAGAGGGATACACCTCCCCACAGGAAAATCACAGGAAACTCTCACAGACACGCTCTGAGCAGCATTCACAAAAACTCTAAGCCAGGCAAGACAGATTACACTTTGGTAAGAATAATTCATCTGATTCAAAGAATTACGTAACCATATAAAAAGGAATGTGTTTTATAAAATACAGCTGCTGACACATTTGAAAAAAGCACCAAAAACCCCATTTTAAGACTTTAACTTACAATGTTTCCTGCACAGTATTGAACTAATGCAACAATTACCACTTCAATCTTTGCAATCCAGCTTTGCAATAGCAATAATGTAGTTGTGGAGTAAATCACATCTAACTTCTTCCTCTTACCTTGTGCCAGACTCTGGTGCATGCACGTGAGGAGCAGAAGGAAGAAAAGAGCTTGAAACTTCATGGCTGCTGCTGCTGGTGCTGCTGGTGTGTAGCTCACTGCACAGAAACAAATGGATTAAATCCCAAAGAAAACAAAACAGACATCCGCACGGTCCTGTCTTTCATCCATGATTAAAAATATTGAAATCCTGGTTTGCAGCTGACCTCTGTGCAGCTCTTCCCTCTGAAGCATTCTGTGTTATTTTACTGAAAACAAGTGAGTTTCTGATAGATTACATCAGGATCCCCCTTTTTGCTCTTATCTCTGACACTTTACTGAACTCAACAGTTGGACCACAAATGTCTGAAGTCAGGTATTCTAACCAAGAATAACAAGGAACTGTATCAGAAGCATGCAGAGAAACGTACCTGCTCAAATTCAGTATTTCAGACGTCCTGGGAGGGAAAAAGCTTTTATCCAAAGCAGCTCGTGGTGCCCCCCCCAACACAAACTCTACTCATACCCCACCTCCTCTGACATGTCAACACTCCAACTTTTACTATTGCTCAGTTGAAGTGCAATTTGATCACTGATTCCCACAAGGCAAATCTATTGTTTTATAACTCTCATGATTGAGTACTTTCAAAGCAAGAACTCTTGACCCCTCTTACACAAATACCTCGGTTTTTTTCACTCCCCAAATGTTCAGCAAAAACACAGAGAAACTTTGAAAAGATGAAGTCTCTGGTGTACTATATATAAAAATATACCCTGAGGAAAGCTGGGGTTGATGGTTTAGTTCCTCTTCTGCTCTTAAGCATCTCATCCCTGCAATGATTTGATTGCTTTCAAATGTTCATGTTGTTTGAATCATAAATCTGGGTAGTGTTTTGAATCGGTCAGGATAAGTGATTCTTAAGCAGTTTTTTGAGCATGACCTCCAGAGGATGTCCAAAAAATTGGGTCTGGACTCTCCGGAGTTTGCCTTTCATACATGCACAACACAGGAGGAGATTCTCTGCTATGACACATGGACGTAACCTAACTTAATTCTGCTGCAGAGATCACATTGTCTGCCTTTATCCCCAGAAGCTCTCCTGATATCACCGTCTGTGTCTTCTATGTGTATGGCACCGCTTTTTCATCTGGAGATATTTGTTTTGATTTTGTGTTTTTCAATTTTGTATCTGTCACGTGTTAGAAGTATCATCAACCCCTAAACATTAAACTCATATGTAAGAAATAAACACATCTAATTTCGAAACTAGGAACAATAATAGGATGCTACAGAAGTCTCTTCCAGCAAGGCTCTCTTCCAAATTTGGAAACCTGGCTGCAGGGATTTCCTCCCATTCAACCACAAGCACATTAGGGGGGCTAGGTACTGATGACGGGTGACAAGGTCAGGCGCAGTCAGAGTTTTAGTTCATCCCAAAGGTGCTGAGCGGGATTGAGGTCATGGCTTTATGCAGATGGGTCAAATTCCTTGTCTTCAATCTGGAAAAAGCATTTCCTCACCAAACTGGCTCCATGCACGAGAACTCTTATTATTGTGAAACAAGAAAAGGTCCATCTTAAAACAGATTTTAAAAAGCATCACATGTTTTGTCATCATTTAACTTTTGCAATAAATTTTGTGCCACAGGAAGTTGCAAAAACATAAAAAAATGTATTAGCTCGGAGGCTGTTTCTTTTCATTCAATTATTTGACATTGTTGATAGTTGTGTAATCATATAATTGAACATAAACTTTTTGGACCAATTAAACACATTTCAGTAATGTTATCTTGCTTATAAAATAGAAATCAAAGTTAAATAAGTGTGGAAGCGTTCATTATTATATTCATACACATTAACTTACCTGTAGAAATCAATTGATGTATTGATAATAGTATAACCGTGATAAACAATGTCTTGTTAAAGGTCAGCGAAGCGTCGTCAACCCTCCAACTCACTCACAGTGAATCCAGCAGGATCAGCATCGTGGTGAGTAGATAATGAGTGAATTTTCCCTTTAAGGGCTCGTCGCGTGATTAAAGACAACTTAACAAAAATAATTAGAAAACACTGCATCACCACCTAGCGGTCAGAGCAGGGACTGTCCCAGCACAAGGATCCGGTTCCGTTGATTCGGAGCAGCCCTGGCGCGTGCAGTCCATTCCTTCACGGATCCTCACCGTGTTTTGCGGGACACCCCCGGCTCTCCTTCAGAGCCTGGTCCGCAGCAGCAGCAGCAGCAGCCTCGGGTTGGACAACGCTCCTGCAAGTCATCCTGACTCCACCGGTTTTTAAAAGCTGTGTGACCCGTGTTGTCGTTTGTTATCTCCCACCAGTCACGGCAGCGGCTCGAGGACAAGGCGGTACAGTGACAGCACCTGTCTGCGCCCGGTTTCACCAGCAGACACCGGTTTAGCAACTTAGGGAGCTAGCTGCACCAAAAGCACATGGACCCTCAAAACACCGACAGCACTGAGGCGAAGATGTGGCTGAACCACGCCAAGACCCTGCGGCTCCATACCGGGAACCTGGTGAACCGGAGCCGCCTGAAGAAGAAGTGTCCGGGCTCTCCCAGCGAGGAGGTGAGATCATGTCAGGAAACAAGCATGTCTACTTTTATACAGCTTCGTCAACATGATAGCTTATTAGCTTAGCCTGCTGGACAACGTCAGGCTGGATAACTGACCAGCTATTATTTGTGTTAGCCGACATTAGCCTGTTAGCCACGTTTGAGTCGTCTATAAAGAGACATTTTTAAAAAAAGTCTTGCAGGTGATATCCCTGGAGGCCCATGTCTAAGGAAGTGAATCTAAGCTAAAGTTGACTGACTGACTGACTGACTGACTGTGTGTGTGTGTGTGTGTGTGTGAAGTGAAGTGAAGTGAAGTATTTGTCCTCAAATCGCACCTCGTTGTACACACTTGTTGAAAATTTGTGTAAGTGATTCATGATTCTGCCCCCTGATCTGAATCTGCACCAACATTTACTGTTTTTCCCTCATCCATTCCTTATCCTTCCACCAAGTGTCCTGGTTATCCATTTCATAGTGTTTGTGTAATCTTGCTCACTAACAAAAGGACAGGGTTGAAAACATAACCTCTTTGATGAAGGTCATGACTTAGTCAATTAATCAAATATCAAAACAGGTTATTCATTTTCTGTCGCTTCACTTATGTATGTGTTGTTTTAGGACTCTATAGATCTTCACAGTAGTAGAGGACAGCTGTCAAGTGTTGACACACTTCCTATGGTGTCAGATAGCTCAAACAGTAGCTGATCTGTGTATGCATAGCTCCTCTCTGAGTCAATTTGTCAATACAATTGGTTTGCAAAACCTATACGCTCCGTTTGCTCCTCTTCAAAATGTTTTTCAAATCCTGACAAACATTGACATTGTTCCTTTTAAACAATGTAAACACAGGAAATACCTGCTAGAGCAACAATTTGCCTGAGTAGAGAACTACAGACTAGAGAATAAAACTAAGAAGGGGAATAGAAATGCAATGCCAGCCCAATAATATGACTTACAAGACTATTAGACCACCTTTTCTTTTTTCTTTTTTTTTGAAATGTAACAGCCTCCTGGATTTTACAGTTTTCATGCTGCAAATTAAAACTATAGTGGGGCCCATATGTAAAAACTGAGCTGCCAGAAGAAGGAGTTTAAATACATAATTTCCCTTCTTAGAATTCAAATGTCGAACATGTTATGTGTCAGTGAAGCGGCCAGCCAATTAGGACAAAGGTCTGTCATCGTAGAGGAGATTTTTCTGTGATGATGGAGGTGGTTTCCAGACGGTGCGACAGGAGCAGAGTAACTGCAGCGTCTGACTCGGGAAGCTGTGCTCATGCAACGTTTTAATGTGATGTGACATGGTGATGTTCTGCAATGCTGGCAAAAAACAGACACTATCTGACCAGCATGCATTGTTTTACATCCCAGAAGAGTGTGCTTTTATCATCATGCCCTTTGTAAGCTTGTTAACACTTGTCCCTTCATGGATTAAGTGACAATAAGCTTGTCCACACAAACCAGGCAAAGTATCGGCATACACGTTGTTCTTTTGAACACCTTGAGGAAATTTCTTCAAAAATTTGGCACAAGTCAAAGGTGAACTGGTTTGATTTTGGTGGTCAAAGGTCACTCTGATGTCACAAAACGGCATCATTTTCAGCCACATTTGAAGAATGCTGAACTTATTATGACACTTTTTTCATACGAATTATTGGATACATTTAAACAGTGACATTTTATATCCAAAAGGTCAAAGTTTAGCGTCACCGTGACATGGCATTAAACATGCTATAACTCAGAGATGAAGAGGGATATTGTGGATATATTTCCTGCAAATTGACTCAGGAGGAATACATCCATGAGCTTTTGTCCGAAGCCTGGTTGGAACTTGTGTACAGAGCTGTGTGCTGCAACCGCCTTAAGTTTGTCTAAAGATTGAGTATCTTTAGTTTTTACTAAACAAATAATCTTAGTGACCAAGTGAACTTAAGTCCTTATTTGACTCCTCTAAGCAATACAAACTGATGCTGGTAAACAAGACTTTAGTGAATGCAGTTAAACTGCAAATTTTCCACCCTCACAGCCATATGACTTGTTTGCTGTTGGGCTTACTGGTTTATTTTGTTTGCATCTGTACACAACTCACTGTCTCAGTGTTAGGAGTCTACTGACTAAGTAGTGAGTTCATTCCCCCTCACATGCATGCAAGTGAACTTAACAAACACTTGGAAGTCTGATTAACTCTTAAAGACTAACTGTAAATTGAGACACATCAGATAGGATTTTGTAAATACTGTTCACATAATCATCCAAGATGTAATTTTACAATGTAGCGTTTTCTAAACAAACTCATGTCGGCCAAGGTCTGCTGTTCAAGTTCATTAAAACCACGTTTTATGGAAATAGCTCTTGTTGTGAAATCAGTGCTGATAAGCTCCACACTACCTTCATAAAACCATCTTGAGTTGTCCAATGACTTAATCACTTGCATGATGTCAACGTGGGACTCTGTCCTATCTCTACTATCCATCCATCCTATGTGATATCAGCAAGCATCAGGGCTGAGGTTTGTAACTTAATGTTCAGCCACATTCTCTCATTGTTCCACACTTGGATCAGTTTGTGAAATTGTCACATTATAAGGTTTGTCCAGCTGATGTCGTCATTTAAATCACACAAAGCAGCTCTCCAGATGTTAGTGTGGATTCTGCTGGGAATAAAAAGATTTAAGCTTCAACTAAGTTCCTCGGATCCTTCCTTAAAAATGTGGCTGTTAATCTCACCTTCTGTTTTTTCCTCTTCAGCTTCAAGACTGCATTCAAGCTACACTGAGCGACTGGTTTTCCACAACAAAGCCGCCATCTGAGGTGGGCTGATACTTTTTATTGTGTATTCATGTTGCGCTGCTGGTTTCTCTTTGGGGAAGTACAGACCTTTATTAACCAGTTTTGCATACATCTCATGACTTGCTGTGAGAAATGAACACACTAGTATTTGAACACAGCTACTATGCTGTGAGGCAGTAGAATTCCAGTGCTTGAAAAAATAAAATGACTTTAGGGATGGGCTTCAAAGGCTTTCTCTTGGCACACTGAAAAGACGCTGTCACCATGAATGTTCATGCAGCGCTGCCTGCCAAAGGCTCCATTCCAAACGTGTGTCTGCTTGTTGGGTTGGGTAAGGGGGAAGAGGTGGGGCACAAAAACCCAGTTTTTGTCCATTAACTGTGATGTGATTTTTGCAATGTGTCACCATGGGATCATTTGCTTCAATCAAACTTTTATGAAAAGCCTGAAGTCAATATTAAAAAGGCTGATCCAATGTAGTGAACCACTATTTCTGCTGAACATACCCCTGCTGCAGCTAGTTTTGCATGGCTCAGCTAATCTCCCTCCCCTTTTATCACCACACCGACTGGAATCAAATGGGGATGGTTTGAAAGAGGTGAAGTGGGGGTCATAAATACTTGCAAATACAAAGCTTGTTAGAAGAATGGGATATTTGTTGAGTCCTTAGTGCTCAAGCTGCGTTTGCTTCATTTTTGCTGGTAGGAAAATACATAACTTTTTAAAATCCTGTATAACGTGTCTATATCATAAAGGTCAACACGTGTTAGTGTTTCACAAAGGTCTTTTCATTAACACATAATACCATTTGCATTCTACACACACCATGGTACAAGTGTGACTTTCTTTCAGATTTACATAAAATTCACAACAGCACTATGTCACACATGAACAGAGCAAATGTACATCATGCTCTCCTCGTTACGAGTACTGTAATATGTGTATATTTGTATTGATTCACTTTTGATTGCAGATCAGTGTACAGAGGTGACCATCCTTTTTTGATCAAGGGCAATTTCAATTTTTATATCATCATAAATTATTGAACACATTTCAATTTTTAAGGTGTCTGATGTCAGATGGTTGTGATGACGATGCTACTTACAGCTGGTTTCAGGCAAAACAACCTTAATCAACATTTAGTAACACGATCATGTTTGAATGAAAAGTCACTACATTTACAGACAGAAGAGTGTAATCTTTCATATTTCACGACATGAGTAAGTCTCTAAAGTGCTTTTCATTCATGCAGAACTTTCCAGATACACTGGACTGCTCCATTCCCCAGGCAACAGACGCGATTACACCTGAGGAGAGGGAGGAGGTGAAGGTTTCAGGTCTGTACTTCTGCTCTGTTGTCTGCAAGAACAACATTAAATCTATAAGCTGCTCACATTCAGTTAGCTTTCATAAACTTGTTCAGGATACTTTTGTCGTTTTAATAAGGGAAATGTATTGGTAGATGTTTTGTTAATATCTACATTTAGTAAAGATAGTTTATAGTAAAGTAAATTAAGAAAAAGGTACCCAATCAAGTTATTAATTAAAAACATCCCCCAATTCATCTGGCAGCTAATTGAGTACCCCTACCTAACTGACTAAATAAAAAGTGCATAAATTATAAAGTAAAAAGTTGCACCAATGATTTATAACCTCATGATGTGGTGGACAACATGTTTACGTTTGCCTTGTTCTTTTAGTCAAGCTGTTCCTGTGTGAGTCACTTCAGTCGTCGATCAGAGATGCAGTGGAGATGGGTGAGTTTTTTTGTTTTTTTTTAATCTCATCAGCAAAACTTTGCTTTGGTCTCTCTGTACTTCATCTGTGTTTGTCTCTCCCTCATAGCCTGCCAGACACTGGCAGTGTCCCAGCTTGACTCGGTTATCATAGCGCCACCTGGGCCCCTGGAGGGTGACGGTCAAACCCTGTCTCACCTTCAGCCAGCCTGGGAGGAGCTGGAGACCTTGGTGAGGAGCCAGCGGATCGCAGCCATTGGCACCTCTGACCTGGACAAAGATCTGCTGGAACAGCTTTACAACTGGGCGCAGGTCAGTGGGAATATTATAAATGTGAGGCCTAATCCAGAGGAAACATTGATGTTGACTCTTATATAAAGGTCAGTCTCTGTTTGTGAAACCAATCACCGACCATGTTCCCTCTGGACCAGGTGAAGCCAAGTAGTAACCAGGTCAACCTGGCCTCCTGCTGTGTGATGCCTCCTGACCTCACAGCTTTTGCTAAAGAGTTTGACATTCAGCTGCTCACACACAACGATCCCAAAGGTGAAAGATCATTTATTTTGTTTTGCCAGTCAGATGAATTTGTTTGATTTTTGTAATCGATCCAAACCTAGTGATGATCCTAGTTTTGAGTTCCCAAATTAGGCATGAGGGTCACAGATTGACTGAATATGACACACTCAAAAAGAGAAGAGTTAATGCATTGTAGTTGGGGTCAACTGCAGCATCTAATTTGTTTGTGCTTTGCATAGTGTGAAGAACCGAATTCACATGTACCTGTTTTCATTTTAAACCACTCATCTCTCTGCTTCATGTTTCCGTCCTCAGAGCTGATGTCAGCAGCCACCTTCAAAGAGGCGTTGAAGGAGGGAACACAAGACCTGAACATCGCCGACTGGAGGCTGGAATGGGTCCTGCGCTACTCCATTATTGTCAAGAGCAGGGGCATCATCAAGTCTAAAGGCTACCTTGTCAGTGCAAGGAAGGCAAGCCCCTAGCACTCCCCCGCCAGAGAAGACGACAGGGATGAAGCCATTTTTCATTCACATACTCACTACACACACAACATGCAGTAATGGCGCTGAATACTGGATACTGCTAATCAAAATGGGTCCTGAAGTCATTGATTTATCTTACAGATAAGGTTCCATCGTCTTCGTATATGATTTGTTCAGTTTAACAGATGCAGGTTTCCATCAACCTCGTCTCAGTGAGATCAAAAATAAAAGATGAACCCCACTGTCAGTTTGGAGACAATACTGTGAAACTCTTAAGTTTCACTGTGACCAGTACACTTTTTTACCACCACAGCAGAAGCTTCTTTAACTATGGAAAATGTTGGTTGATCCAAAATGAAGGTTCCCTGACCCTTTTCTGATGTGAAGTGCCTCTCATCTTTTTCTCCTTCTATCCTTCTACCTGCTTTGTCTCCACTGTGTCTGTGAGAATTGAGCTTTAAACACGTTAAGTCTGAATGAAAAGATTATGATTGCAAAAGGGTAGAAATCTATTGTTTTTAGTAAATAAGTATACCAAACATTTTGAAAGGATAAATGAAAACTAATATAGTGTGAAAAAAGTTTTATATTTGTGCAGTTTTGGTTGTTACTGCTGTATATGACACTATTGCATTCCACAATTAAGAAAAACCATGCACTTTCACATTTCAAATCTAAATATATATGAGCTGTTTATTTTACGATGCAGACTTTTAACTGGTTAAACGGACAACTGTAAGAGTATAACTTTAAACTGTCATGTTTTCTAACCATGCAATATTTCTGACGATGCATTGAAATTAATTCCCCTTAATGCTCATATGATTCATTTGACGGTTGAGATTAGAGCACTGTTGAGATTAACAGAAATAGGCCGATGTCATCTATGTGTTGTTATTCTATCACTGGAAACTGTGTCTGAACTGAGACGAGGTAGAATGCTAACTCTGAAAAAGAAGTTATGTTTATGAATCATGCTAGCTTTTTTCCAGACAGGGTCCAGTTAGTCTCATGAAGACAAATTATCTGTTGCGCTGTAAACATATTTAATGCTATCTGTATATCATGACCTGGCTTTATTAAAATTATGAAATGCTCCTTTGTACTCTTGACACTGGTGTATTTAATACAGGGGAGAATGAGTGAGTAATGATGCAATCAATATTTGGTGTCACAAAGAAACGTAACAGTAAAACTAACCTTTCACATGTGTGTGCTGCTGAGCCAACAGACTTTTAACCTGTTACACTGAGCTCATCAAGCTCATTTGATTTAACTATAGAAATAAAAGCTGGTGATTAATCTGAGGAAACAAAATTAACATTTACATTACAGATGTGGTAGAAGTTGAATTGCAGTCATTGGCCTGCTCTTCCATCTACTGGAGACTCTATGTAGTGCACATTGTTTAACTAAAATGTCTCTCCTACGCACATAGATTCAGATGGAAATTTAGGCTTCAAGTAGCTTAACACACAAGAAAAGAAAAGTGCTCAAGAATTACAGAAGTACAGAAGAATGTGTCTATGGAGGCTGTTCGAATAGTCTATACCATTTAAGGTGGACCACGTGTCTCTACTTCCTCCCACTGCAGAAATGACGCCAAAACATCTCGGATAGGAACGCGTCCATCTTGCGCTGATGACACAGGTCCTGCTAATACGATCGACCAATCATGTCTCAACTGTCAAATCATGACATTTTACTGTTTTTATAGCATCAAATCACTTATTAAATATCTGCACTTAAATGTACAGCAGTGTGATAAGAACTACCTAAAATGACAAAAAAAAACATTTGAGAATTTTTGACCAGGAATTTAAAAATTAGGCCTATGTCCCATTCACTTACATGGATGAGGCAGCAGGATTTTCATTATTTTTATAACCTATATTGCATCCAGTATGTCGTCCATCTTTATATATGGTCTAATACATATATCTTAAGCAGTAACATGAGTGCACTCTTATTATACATTTCACTTAACATCTATCATGATCAATAACCCAAACAGACAGTCAAAAAGAGAAATGCTGAAAAATAACCTGGGTCAGATAACTCCTTGGATTAAATCAGAAGGGGCAAGTCTGGGTGTTATGTTAGACTCTGATATGAGTTTCAAGGCCCACAGTAACAAGGCGACCGAAATCTCATTTTTCCACCTTATCAACATAGCAAAGGTTCCGGCCATTTAAAAATCAGACAGAAGCTGATTCATGCCTTCATTTCTAGCTGACTTGATTGACTTTAAGGTTCTCCTCCGTACATACAAGGCTCTGAATGGGCCAGGACCGAGTTACTCAGCGGACTCTCTAGTTAAGTATGTTCCTTCTAGAACAGTGAGGTCATCTGCAGCAAGTCTATTAGAGGTTCCCAAAGAAAATCAGAGATGCAGCTGTTGTGAGCTATGCTCCAAAGCTGACAGACTGCCGCTAGATATCAAAGCAGCTAGTTCAGTAAGCGTCTTCAAAAGAAAACTTAAAACCCTCTCTTTGCTTCAGCATTTAACTAGATCTTACACTTGCCCACACTCCTGCGCTTTTATCAATGTGATCACTTTCTGTCTTTTCTGTTATCACGCATTTTTTTACTTTATTTAATTTGTTTTACTTTTAAAATTTTCTTTGCTTTAAAATATCATTTTAGCATGTTCTTATGTTACTTAAAATCTGAATTGATTTCTTTCAACATGTTTTTTTAAATTAACATGTTTTTACTTTTATCTCTATTGTATGTAAAGCACTTTGATCTTGAGCATTTCTTGTATGAAAGGTTTATTATAGTAAGTATGAGAAATATACGTGCATACAAACCATAGACTGAATATAAAGAGATAAAAACGCAGTCTATGATCACTGCTCTGTGATCGTCTGCTCAGGCCTCTCCTAATCTGTGACGCGATTGGTCGAGTCTAACCTTCATACCGGAAGTGAGAAAGAAGCGACAGGAGTAAGCGTCGTCCAAGATGGTGTCCACCAGGAGAAGTGTGCGTGTGAGCTCTCCAGCTAAAACAAACCCCGACCAGTCCTCAGACGTCCCGGTACGTGGAGCAGAGATGAGATGTAAACGTGTAAATGTTCACAGATGATGTGAAGCTTCAGTCTGAGCTGAGGCGAGTCTGTCACGTGGGTTTTAACACCACTGGCGAGAGAGACACGTGCACACGTGTTTGTTTCCTGCCTGGAGTTTGTAAATGTCTGGATGTTGTTGTTCAGAGAAGTTTAATGGTAAACATGTTTTATCCATCGTGAAGCTCAGTCTAGTTGTTACTCGCTCAAACTAAACCGTCATCATACGGATACTGTAAAACACGAGAAGTGCAGGGAACTGATCAGGGCCTGAACTGAACCAATGAGGGGAACATTTTTACAGAAAGAAAGAAAAGAGAACACAACAACAAACAGGGTCATTATACAGTTGTCCCTAAAATTAGAATAGTGTTTTAATACACGGAGATGTTCAGATGTATGTATTGATTTATATGTTAAAAGTAAACATTACTTTTCTTTCTTGTGACATGTTCATCGCACGTCTGCAGATGTAAGTCATTTGAGGACACAATTACAACTTTAATCAGTTGTTCCACGTTTATTTTTGATTCTGTTACAAACTCAAGAGTTTAGTCTCCTTTGAGATCTGAATGAAAATGAATGTGTCTAAACTGCAAAGGGGGTGTAAGCTCGTATTTGTAGTTGTTTCCCCCACAAGGGCCTCTATTTATAAATAACCCATAAATCAAGGTCCTTTATAAACATCAGTGTATGCAGTGTAACATACGTGTAGATTATACATATGATTAAATGTGTGTCAGTCTGTGTCAAATCCTCACACTTCCACAGTTTGTAATGAAAAACTCCATGCTGATTTACACAAGAAACCTATATAATTTGTATGATTCTTAGTGTCGTAAAATAACTTTTTAATATCCTGTATGACTCATTAATGTTACAGCACATCATAGCTTGACCTTTGGTTATATTTCATTCTACTTTTTTCTTACAGTAAACAAAAACACAAAATGATGATTAAATTGAAGATGATTGTTTGTGTGATGGCACAGACCTGCATTATCATCCATAAACTATTAAAAAACACATTAATGAGCAACATCATTGCATCATATGTAATGTTCTGTCATTATTCTGTAAAGTCACTGGAGATCAATAAATGTGTAATAATACGCAGCATAAAATAATCCCCAATAAATAAAAGCACTACTCTCCTCTGCAAGGTAATGTTTACAGTTCATAACTTCACCACAGATAAAGAAGTGATAAAAAGACAGAATGTAACACACTGTTGATTTTAGTCTTTGTTAGTAATAAGAAAAAAGTGGAATAGCAGCAGCCCTATCTTACTTACATTGTGCTGTAGAAACATCTTTTTACAGACTCTTCTCTTAATGTCACGCAGGCCACTCCCTCCACTGGTCGGACAACAAGGAGAACTGCTAAACGAGCAGAGAGTCCTACCCATGATGCCCTTGTGGAGACCAGCAGCCAGCTTGAGAAAAGTGAGAGTGTGTCTCCAGCATCTCCGCCACCCTCCTTGATGAAAAGATGCACCAGAGCTTCCAGACTCCACAGTCCAGAGCAGCCCTGCACACCCGTGGACTCAACCCATGAAGGAGACGTGTCAGACGTAGGGTCCTGCTGCTCTGCGTTGTCCGACATCGAACCACTGGTGTCACGGACCAGAGGCAAGAGTAGAACTCTCCGGACAGTCAGTCCGGAGGATGAGGAGATATCTGAGGTGGAGTCGTGCTCCTCTGCAGTGTCTGCATTGAATGCTGGTCAAATTATTCGCAAGAGCACCAGGAGAAAGACATGTCCTGACCCGGCTCCTGCATCCACTGACCCGTGTCAGGCTCCTCTTGAGGCAGAAGACGTCAAACAGATGCTGGAGACAGAGTCCTGCAGCGCTGGGGCTTCTGAATCCAAGAGAGTCACCAGAAGCCTGAGGAAAAGTGCTCGCGCCAGATCAACTGCTAATCGACAAACTGAAGACTCGGAGGTCTCAGATGCTGAAAGCTGCGCATCAAGTGTCTCAGGAGCTGCAGTTACTAGGTCCACAGCTCGCAGAGCCACGAGATCCAGAAGATCAGCACATCACATCCCCATGGACCTAGACGAGGCCTCGGACTGCTCTCGTTCCCCTGCTCCGAGAGGGCGACAGACCAGGGCAGCAAGAGGAAAGGCATCAGTGACTGTGTACGAGAGTGATCCCCCGTCTCCCAACTCTGATGGCTTTGAGTCGGGGCCCACTTACAGTATAACCACTCGCAGGCGGGGCAAGGCACAACCCCAAGGCCCCAAAGCCTTGGACTCGGACTCTGACCTGACGGACAGAGGAACTCCCTGCAGCAGCCGCACGGGCTCAGGGAACAGCAGTCGAGGTGTTCGGATAACTAGAAACTCTGTCAGAAGTCTTTCTATTGTTCTAGAAAAAGTCAGCGAGCCGACGGAGGACAGCTCATTAAATGACTCCAGGTTAGAAAGCACGCTGATCACTGAGGACGCAGACCGCACACTGTCAGAGGAACCTATGAGCCAAACACCAGAAGAAAAAGAAGATGTGAATGGAGCTGATCTCACATCAAATGGGGCAGATACAAACGAAGAGGAAGAAGTTATTGCGAGTACAGTTGATCTTGCGTCAACTGAGGCGGATGCAAACAGAGAGGAAAAGGAAGAAGTTATTGTGGATAAAGTTAATCTCACATCCAATGAGGGGGATACAATTGAAGAGGAAAAGGAAGAAGTTATTAGTGAGCCTGCAGTAATGGTCAAAGACCAGCAGGAGGAGCCATCTGCTGAAAATAAAGACAAAGACACATCGGAGGTGGAAATGATGCAGGAAATGATCGAGTCATCAGAGCCGTTAAAGCATTGCCAATCAGTTACAGTAACAGAATGTGAGAAGGCCTCTGGAATCATAGTAGTGGAGGAGGAGGACCAAACCATGGAGGTAGCTGATGTGGGGACACACTCGTTACAGGGAGATGAGGCTGTGGATAAAGATGCAGTTGTAGAAACTGGGCCCAGTGATGAGGAGAAAATGGAAGTGACCACTGTGAACACAGATGCTCAGCAGGTGGTCGACTCCAGCGAGGTCCAAGTCGAGTCCATTCAGGTAACATCGAGCCAGCAACTAATCATCACACTGGATTCTGAACCTGAACAGCAGGAGAAAGATGTCGTTGTCCAGAAAGCTAAAGTCATCAGCCTTCTGGAGAGCAGCGATGATGAAGAGGAGGGGGACATTTCTGGAGACGAGGAGGAATTAGGGTCCGGGAAAGAGGAAGAGAGAGCTGGACCGTCTAAGAATTCTGAAGCAGCCGCTGCATCAGTGGGAGGACTGTTTATGGTCGACACGCGGCCCGGACAAGAAGCTGACGAACATTACTGCAAGGACAGACTAACAGAGGACGTGGAGGCCAAAGAAAGAGAAGATGAACAGGAGGAGCAGGATGAAGAGTTTGTGGATGAGGAGGGAGATGATGACGATGACGACGAAGATGCAAAAATCCTCTTCTCGTGTCGCAATCCTCAGCTGTAAGTGAAAGAGCCTCAGAACAGCCTCAGACTGGTTCATTCACACAGGAATACACACATGTACTTCAACACACAGTAAAGTAAATAACGAAGTAAATAAATCTGCAACATGTGACTGTTTAAAGTACGATAGTGACTTTACACAATATTTTTCATGTTTGCATAAAGGAATAGTTTTGAGAATGAACTTTATAGATGGGAAGGTAGATCAGAAGGGAGGGTATTCACACTCCCGTTCGTTCCAGGTTGCTATGACTACGAGCCTACAGCACATTAGGTCCTTCGCTAAAGTTGTCCCTCGGAATTTAAGACACACGCAAATAATTTCCGCACGTGGACTCGCTGCATTCTACCGAAAGAACCGTATCGGAAATGTTCTGTTCGGATACATGTACCATGTCATGTGGAAACATCACCTGTGATCATAATAATGATAACTTTATTTTTATAACACTTATCTAAACCAAGTTACAAAGCGTGGCAAAGAAATGAATGAATAATAATTCAAAAAGGTTCAATTAAATTTTAAGTGCCAAATCATAACATATAAAGAATTCACGCAGAAACCAAACAGTTCCCACAATGAGAAGCACTTTTAGAAAAAAAAACTCATTAACTGAAAGAAACCTCAAGCAGAACCAGACTCAGTGTGGGCGACCGGCTGGGATGAGCAGAGTAAAATGGGCAAGAGAGAGAGAGAGAGAGAGACCAGGAACAGCTGTGTAACCATCACATTGAATCTCCATCAGACCGGTTGTTAGAATGGAAACAATAATCTTCGGTTGTACCTTGGTGTCATCAGGTGTTACAGCCTTTTAATCGCAATAATATTAAAAGCCGGACCTGGGGGTTCGCTGAGGCTGAAGTTAGATGTGAATCACCTCAAGACGCATGTTAGTACCAGGAATGAAGTCTGTGTCCCTTTGTTTCAGGAGTGATTTTTCCACCCGCATCGACCCGGGCATCAAAATGAAGCAGTTGGGGGGTTTATACATCAACTTTGGCGGCAGCAGCAGCTCAAAACCTGCCTCCACCTCATCCAAGGAAAAGAAGATCCAAGATGAGGTAAATGTGTGACTCATTGTTTTTGAATTTGTCCTCCTACCGGAGCAGTGGACTGTTTGGTGCTCTGCAGTATTGACTATTGATTCTTTTGTTGTGGTCCACAGGTGATGAAGAAAAGTGTGATTGGACCAGAATTTGAAAAGATGGATGCGGTGCCTCCGTACAGTGAATCCAAACAAGCCTTAAAACTGAAACACAGAGTAAGTTTTCTTTTTTTTTTTTTAGTACTCAGTGATTCAGTAAGTTAGATGTTTATCACCTGCACAGTTTATGTCAAAGCCAGTTGGCCATCTGTACAATTTTACCGGGGGGGGGGGATGGTCAACAACCAAACTGTGGCTCCTGTGAGCATCATCTACTGCAGGATGCTCACCTGAACACACACATTCTCCATCTGCTCACACAGCCCCCTCTCCTGATGGCTGAGAGGGGATGGCACCACTGGCAGGCTGTTCAAGCCATTTTCAGACAAGAGCTCTGGAGAATGTCCAAACAAATGGATCCTGACTTTCTCTGGTGTTTGCCTTTCACACATGAACGCAGTGGGACACTCTCCGCTCAGACGTGTTCACAACAGCAGAGAAATCTCAGGAGCGTTTAGGTGAGGGGCGGCGCAGCGGACAGTGCCGTATAGAGTTAAATCTCTGCAGAGATCACGTGTTTGTGTTTACAGCACATCAACACTGGGGTCAGCTCTCATCACCTAAAGCTCTCCTGACATCTCTGGTGTCTCCTACGTCTATGGCTCCGCTTTTTCACCTTAAGATTTTCTTTCTGCGGCGGCTGTGGCTGCATCCCAACGTGTCCTAGGGCAAGATACTGAACCTCGATTTGCCCCTGATAGAAAAGGTGCTGCCCATAGATGTGTTATATGAACATGTGTGAATAACAATAAACTCTAAAGCACTCTGAGTGCTCATCAAGACCAGAAAAGCTCGATATAAATACAGACCATTTACCATTTTTGCTTCATTTTTGCACACTCCCTCGCTGCGGAGGCTCTCCCGCTGTCTTCTCATATGGGCCACATTATCCAGAGTCTTACATATACTCCTTCCACAGGATGACAGGAGATTCTCCTGAGTTCAGGCCGTGTCTGTGAAAGCAGCTGTATGGGGATGTTTTTATTTTGGTCCCCACACATATCATAACTGATTTCACTGATGGTACTAGAGTTTCTCTGCTGTCATCATACATATTGACGTGCATCCAGTGCTTTTAAAATGCTCTCTGGTAACTGAACTGTTGTTTCCCAGGCAGAGAGGGAGAAATCCACAGGAGATGGTTGGTTCAATATGAAAGCCCCTGAGCTCACTCAGGAGCTGAAAGGAGACCTCCAAGTCCTGAAGATGAGGGGCACCATGGACTCAAAGAGGTTCTACAAGAAGAACGACAGAGAAGGTTTTTCCAAGTATTTTCAGGTAAGGAAAAAAAACCACAATCATTCACATTTACTTGGAAACATAATCGTGAATCTTCATCTTTTAACCTTCCAAAGGATTGTAAAATGAATCACCCCCCACTGTACACTACATATTATATCTGTCCATGTTTTATGTGTACAGGTTGGTACCGTGGTGGACAGTCCAGTCGACTTTTATCATTCCCGTGTTCCCAAGAAAGAGAGGAAGAGGACGATGGTGGAGGAGCTTCTGGCTGACGCTGACTTTAGACAGTAAGTTGAGCCACACAGACAAACAGCATCAGTGTGTGTGTGTGGAGTGATTATGTCCTGCATGGCTCAGTGTTGGAGAAGCAGCGTTTCTTCAGACAGTCATTACCTCTTTGTCATTTTAAATAAAAACTCAGCAGAGTTCATACCTCAGTCCCTGTATGAAGTACATTTAAATGTACTACTTTTTATTTGGATCTAACAACAAATTCAACACTCCCATTTCTCAACCACCAATCATAGTCAGGAGCGTCTGACCGGGGTCAGTCATTACTCATGCACAATAGCGGCGGTGCAGGGAGGGGCTTCAGAGACAGTTTTGGAACTCAGCAGAAAATGGGAGGAGGGGTCTATTTTCGAAATGCCACTGACTGCACCTTGAAGGCAACTGTTTGTATTAGTAACGAGTGGTGACAAACCAAGTGTGGCATCACTGACTCTGACTGTCGACTCTCTGAAATGTGAATAATATCAAATCTTATTTTCCTCTTCCCTTTTAGTAAAAACAAAAAGAAATACCAGGAAATCATGACAGAGAAAGCAGCACAAGCAGCCGGCAGGAAGAACAGGAAGAAGAATAAATTCCATAAGAAGTGAATGTAAAGACTTTGAGTGGATTCAGCTCCTGTAGCAGGAGGTGGATTTTTGTCGATGATTGAAGGTTCAATCATATTTTGGATCTGGAACCTGAAGCTTCAGTGAATCCTTCTCATTTCTGACCTTCATCTCTGAACATGGACTGAGGTTGTATGTCAACTGAAACATTGGACAAATCAAGTGGATTGAGTGATATTACAACTTGTGATTATTTTGTAGTGATTATGGTGCAGGCTTCTATTCACAAGTATAACAACAGATTTTTAATCACATCGACGTGTACACTTTGCTGTGCAGAAATTATTGTCATCCACACAACGCATCTAACATTAAAATATTTAGTTTTGACTGGAACCAATGTTTGAATGTCTTTCACATAACATTCTGAAAATACAGATTGTCACGTAGAATAAAATATCCCCGACATTGACATTTACGACAAAAACTTGTTTTTTATCATGAAATGCTAAGATCACACCAGAAACGTCACATTATTCAACCTTTTAATTTTCTGTTTTTGTAATAACTGAATAAATACACAATGAGGAGAACCAAAGAAAAACAAAAAAGTGATTTTGTTTCATAATAAAAGAATGAGCAGCAATGAACTGAATTAGTTCAACACATTCAAACATGACTTAAGAATCACAATCAACTCCAAGCAGCCATTTAAATGATCATTCATTTTAATATTCAGAAATATTCAAAAACACTGACAATATTAATACTGAGCAATAACTAAACATTAAAAACAACTTCAAATAAAGGATTTTATAGGAATTTTTAAATTGACAATATGCTACCTGCATTTGAAAATACAAACTGAAGTCTGGTGATACAGATGGTGAAACATGTTCCAGAAACAGTGTTAAAAAGAATAACTGCATTATTGGCCAGAATTTTACTGAAATGCATCAATTCAACAAAATGTTTTAACAGCAGTAGAGAGTGCATTTTATCATCAAATCAGTGAAATCTGAAGTTTATTCAACAGGGAGACCTGTTCAGAAAACTGCTCTGCCCATGATCAATTAAAATGACCTTTATAAAAATGCCCACTTTAATAAAATGTTACTGTCACTGCAACAACAAGCCAGAGATTTATATCATTAGCTATTTTACAGGAAAAGCAGTGCAGAAATCATCAGTCCAGCTCTGACAATAGTTAGGTATCCATCAATATGAGGAATACACAAACAGTTTGACCATTAATCAGATCCTTTGCGCATTAAGTTAAATGTACCAGCTGCATTGAAGGAAACCAGATCATTCAGTGTAATCACCTTCTGTAAATATAAAACATTTCCTTCACTTAATATCAAATGAATCTAAGAACACAGCTGCACTTCATTTATCTAACAGTGATAATAGATGCGAGCTCCTTTGTTTAATACTGTCACATGGGGTTTTGTGCCTCTGCTCCGGCGACAGCCAGTGGCCATCCGTCTGTTCCATTCTTGTGAAAAAGTTATCTCTACAACACCTTGAGGGGATTTCTTTGAATTTGGTACAAATTCCACTCAGATTCAAAGGTCAAAGGTCACTGTGACCTTACAAATCCCTTTTTTGCCTTTTTAACATGTTATCTTAAGAATGCCTTGAGAGAATCCTTTCAAATTTGGCACAAATGTTCATTTAGACTCATGGATTAACTGATGTCAGGGGTCAAGGTCACAGTGTATCCAGTTTATTACTATGAATGCAATATGTTGGGAACCCCTGGAGGGACTGAAACTGCACTGGTTGCTTGAGCGAAACAACAGCAGGGTGGTAATTCTCGTTTTCCACATTCTGACATGTTACAGTAGGAACAACCTCTGTGCCAGGAGCCGGTGTACTCAAACTACATACAGATTTAATTTTACAATATTTAACATGTTTCAGCGTGACACTGGATCTGACTTGCTTTATGTTTAAGGCTTAATTTTATTGTGTCTTTCGTTCAGAATTCTAGTCTTGTTCCTCTCTCCCTTAAATCTCTACAGTGGCTCTTGGCTTCCTCTTTGTTTCTCTTTTGTGTTTCGAGGGATGATCTCTCAACAGCTGCAGCTTACATCCACCATGTTCCCCCTCCACCTGTTTTAAAACAGCCCAGCTGACGGGTGGGAGGGAAGAGGAGCTGCTACACACAGTTGAACATCACTTGTCTAACCGTAATGATGACAAAAACTGTTCAGCAGGTGCCTGGAAAGGTTTTAAATGTAAATGAACATCGAGCTGAGACAAAGATAAATGAGTGAGTCATGAGTCTTTAGCCTTAAAAAGTGCATTAGTGTTGCATCAACTGGTGTGTGCAGCCGGAAGAGGCTGATAGCGATTGTAACAGTGAGAAATCTTTATACTTTAAATGATTCAGTTACTTTTAGATCAGAGGCTTAAAGGTCGAAGTTCACTCGGTGGTCCCAGGTTGTTCTGTGTGTCTGCAGGATCCTCTGGACTCGGCTGTGGATCTCCTCCCAGTGGGATGGACTGGGCTGACTGGTCTGGAGCCTAAGAAAAACACCAAGATACAGAGAATATACAGTTACAGATAATATAACTCAATTAAGTTTAATTACATCTGCCAAGAAAGTTATTTTTGTTTTACTGTTTGTTAGTTTAACACTTTCCTTAACTTCTTATAAAAGGGCATTTTTGAACATTATTTGCTGATTTCTCAGAGAATCAGGCAAATTTAAGAGACTAATATTTGTCATTTGGTACAGATTCAAATAAAAATCTGGATCTAGAGAATTTGAATGTGTGAGGGTATCATTGGGCTTGGCGGACTAGTTGAGTCACATTTACAGTCCTATAACACACCCAATAATATTTTCGATTAATCAGTCGTTCCCAGCTTGAGGGTGAAGACCCAACGAGACACATCTTAAGAAGCAAAAAACATTTAACAGCAAAGGAAAGCAAAAAAAAGCTCTGCCACGAAAAGTTTTTTTGTCAGTTTTTGCATTTTCTGGTGAATTGGTGAAACTTTTACTCTTTGAATTGTCGGAAAATAAGCCGATACTTTTAGGTACGGATACTTAATTCCTCCTCAGTTCCGACCCGGCTTTTTGCTGCATGACGTCACTTGCCCCCTTTTCCCTTTCACGACTAAATTCTGTCCTATCACAAAGACCATATTGCACCAAAATGTTACAAAATAGTGACATGTGGTTCTAACTGTTCAGGACACAGAGTTGTGATGATGATGAGAAACACATCTGCACATAAGAAAAGCTGCAACCACTGAATGTCTGAATTCACTCAAATAGTTTCAGCTCTAAATAATATTTCTCACAAACACTGCCTGACTTCAAGATGTTGTTACAATATTACTTTTGTCCACTAGTCTGTGCTGTAACCTAACGTAAATCACAGTGAGCGGCTCTAAAGGTGAAACTACCAAGACACTGACGTGCTTTAACGTGTGCTGTGGTCAACAACATTAAAGTAGTTTGAAATAACCAACTATGTTTTCCTCATGTAAATGTTCATTTTGATTTCGTCTCCTCTACATTCAACCCTTTGTGCAAAACAAGTAATTTCTCAACTGACAGAACCAGCTGATCTGGAGGCATAAACATGTTTCCTCTATACGATATAAATGTGTGTTGAAGTCGGCCACGGGCAGCGGTGAAATGACAGATTGCACTGACAGACAGATATGGATGAGAGGCAATACAGCAATTTATTACTGTTCACTTCTGTCTATTTGTCAGGAGTGGAGGGGTGATGGCTGACTGACGGACTGGTGTCTTGTCCAGAATTGCAGTGTGACAACAGAAGGTGTTCATGTGTAATCACTTAAACTCACTACCTGCTTCAAAAAGTCATCAAGGACAAATCATCCAGAGACATGAATAGACTGAGACTTTCGGGCTTAGGGGGCAAACGTTGCCACTGGCATCTGTCATTTTCTTTATACATCAGAGGCTCGTGGCAAGACGTGCTCCTCGCCGTGTTGAAGGGAATCTACAGAGGCTCGATCTAATCTCCCGCCCTGCAACTCCTGTCGCGTTTTCAATTGAGAGAAAAGTATCATTCATTTCCTACAATTTACTTTGCAATTTAAGATTGCTTATTGATTTTAATGTTTACTTATGGACTGAGCTGAAGGGACGGGAGAAAGGAGAGCAGAAGCAAATAAACAAACAAATGGAACATCGGTCCCATCGGTGTGTTCAACTCACTGCTGCCATGATCGATGACAAGGTCTCTCTGGATGTATTAAAGCATGCATCGGGTCAAATGCATCAGGCTCAAGCTGAAACACAAATCAATACCATTTTCCTCTTTGTTTTCTTTTCTCTCTGCCTCTTCTCTCAGTAATGAACAAACATGACAAGACATCAGCTTCTGTAATTTAAGAGGTGGAGGGGAATTCATCCTGCCTGTCGAATGTGATCAAAATTAAAGATTGGACGTGTATGAGTGCACACACGCACACACACAAAGCGGCGGCAGTGTATGACTAATGTCTGGGGGGATTGCCATATATTTGCTGTACACAGTAATTGGAAACTCATACAGGTGTCTCTTCTGCTTTTAAGATCCTTTAAGCAAACACAGATGATTTGCACAGATGGATCGAATAAATTCAGAGTAAACACCAAGAAAAAAGAGGATTATGTTTTTTCCTCAGACGTGAGTTTGAAGAAAATCTACTGGTTTTGTGGCAAGAGAAGCCAAACACAGAGCTCAGAGGTGATGTGGGGAGTGCTGCACAAATGTACATCTGAAGGTAGAGCACTTTACTTTTAAGTAGAGAGTACAAAAAACATGCAATACTTCTTACTGTGCAAAAACATCCACTGAAACATATGTAAGCATTCCTGTATGTGTCGATGTGGAATGCGGAGTTAGAATTTTGCTTGTTTTGACTAACAGCTGCAAACTAAACTGGATGAGTTGGATGCATTGTTGTGCCCAACAAGCACCTTTCACAAGACCACATTCTGACAGAGACTATGATATGCAGGGAAGTTTTGTAGTGAACAAGCTAATAGCTAAGAAGCTGAAACCTCATACAGAAGGAGAATTTGAGCAACGAACCTTTGCCAGTTTCAGTGTCAGTTTGTCTCTAAGAACGGTTGCAAAGCAGATAAATATAAAAAAGATCGAGCAAGCACTGCATAGCATTTCTTGTGTGAGGGATGACTGCAGTTTGATTTGCAGGAGGAATTACTGTCTTTGCAAGCAACGCGCGCTACTACCAAAGGTGAGGATTTGCCTAAGCAAGATATTTTTAGCTAAAATTAGTATCATCATCACTACCATCTGACATTAGACACATGTCAAAAGCGATCATTACATGAGAGATATATGTCTTAAATAATTCAGTATACTGCACAAAGGATGTTATAATAATTAAAATGAACCTTGAAAAACGTTCCTAACCCCTGGTGTAGGAAGTAAAGATCCAGTTTTATAATTGGTATGACGATGATAATGCAAATTTTCAGGGTCAGGTTGAGGGAAATGTTTTTACCTTTCTCTGATGGAACGGTTGCTGAGATCCAGAGGACGTCCGGAAATTGGCGTAGCCAGGGTAGATTGAGCGGGATCAGAATCTATCACAGAGTTTTTGGTCTGGGCTTCATGTCTGGACCGTGTCTCTGGAGACAACTGTGCCCTCACAGATCCTGACTTCACCTGGGAGAGGCCACAGGGCAACAGGGTTTAAGTGAAAGTCAAGAAAAAATTATTTTAAATCAAGGAAATTACTTTTACAATAAAATGTATACATAATATCAAAATATATTTTCAGTATAAGCAGGCACATTTACAATTGTTATGAAAAATATGTGCTAGGAAGACATTAGTGTAAATGTATAACTGTCTAAACAACACAGCACCAAAAAACATAATAAAACAGAGCCAGTGGTGTATAAATACTGTATTTGAGTAAGTTCAGTATGTAGTGTGTTTGTAAAGAGAAACTTCAGTACATACAACATTTGAACACTTTGCTACTGATGCACTGTTGCATTGAAACAGTAGCTCACTCTATTTGTTGGTCTAAAATGTAATGATTAGACTTACTCTGGCTGTTCTTGGTCTGTAACTACCCAGGAGGGAAGAATCTACAAAGAAAAAGACAAGTTAGAGTTGTATGAAAATCACAGCAGCTTAAGGACTTCTTCTGTCTGCAGTGCTTTTTCAGAAATAAAAAATAAAGGTGATGGTTTGAGCCTTCACTCCACAGTGATCATCAAAACTAAAAAAGCACAATATAAATACAAACCATTTACCATAATTGAGTAAAGCATGTTTAGCCTACAGTACCTGTTTGATTAACTGAGAAGCAAAGAGAGCGTCGACGCATGCTGCTACTGTGGGGGGAGGAGGATGGAGTTCCCACCACTGAGTCACTACTGCAACAAGAGACCTGGTGTAAAAACATGACAAAGAAATAACTTGCTGTTAAACAGAAAAACTAACACTGTAACTTGAAATTCCACAAGAAAAATGGATATGTTTTGTCTTCTGTAATGAATGAAATAAATCAACAACAGCAAACATATTAGTTTGTGCAGTCGTCTCAACCCCAAAGCATTTCACCAAGATTACAATCAGGCATAAATAAAAAAAAAGATGTTCACAGAGTAATCACCTTGGGTACAGAACCTCAAACAACATCGCTCAGGTTATCTTCAGGAATGTGCTTCCCTCTACACACAAACCCCAAACCAGGAGTTGAGGCTCTGAAATGTGCACTGATAATGCATTCACCATGGGGCTAAGCTACTTCATTAGGTATCTATTTGTTAATTGCAGCTTGACTCACAATTACCAGGGTTAATTGTCGACATGAGACTCCCCCAGGAAAAGCAGAGCAGGAAAAGCATGCTCCTCTCTTTAATAAAAACGGCAGTTGTATTGAAGTGAATTTCCATTCATGTGTGTGACAAAAACAAACAACTCTGTACCTAATCATTCCCTTTAATAACAGCATGCAAGTGGATTTTGATATTCATACCTCAGGATTAGATTTGATGTAAATGAGGACGCGGGGGATTCAGTGGGGAACAGAGGGAAGGAGGAGTAGAGGACTAGAGGCTGTGTTGTTCTTGTCCATCGATTGTATATTATTCCCCAAGGCTGTGTGATCAGAAAACCGTTCCCTTTTATATGCAAATCTCTCATAACAATTACACGGTCATAATTCAAGTGTTAACAAATAACTGTGTACCAGCCTAAACACAGGTTCTGTGCTATTAAAGAACACACCAGCCCCTGAGTGAGGATAACAGACCGTATTACAGGCGCACACAGTGAAACATTTTCATGACGTCAAAATGCATTAACAGCTCAGGTAAAAAGATTAACACTGCTCTTATTATGCCCTCCACTTAATCTGCCTGATAGATTAAGTCAAATTTTGGGAAGCTCCCGCTGAGGTTTGAACTGCATCAATTCAGGATCCCATTAACATTATAACCCCTGATTACTGAACATGTGTATTACTGGTATTAAATAGACTCATAACACTTTTTTTATCTGTATCCTTCACTTTGGAGGAATAAACACAGATCACCTGCAACATTAAAACCAGCAACTGGTTTTTACTGTTGTGGCGGATTGGTGTATTTTTGGCCCTGAAGCCATGGAAAATAAATACTCTAAATATTTTAAATTCAGTTTTAAATCAAGACATCGATGGATCAGGATGAACACATTTAAAAACAGGTAAGAGATATAAACAGATCCGCCACAATATAGAAAGCATTTACCAGTTTTAATGTTAGCTGATCGTTGTATTTGATGTTACTAACCAAAAAGGGAGGCTGGCTCTCAGTCTCCTTCCTGAAGTGGTGAGGCCCCAGCTGGAGGTGGCTGAGCCTCTGCCTGGCGTCCTCTGAGAGCTGGCACATCTTGCGGTGAGTGTAAGGGGACAGGGCTCGAGTCCTTGAGGAAACCGTGGGCTGCTGGTAGCCACAGTCGACAGAAGCTTGTTTTCTTTCCTTCTTGTTTTTCTGGTGACTGTGGCCGGGTGGGGATGAAAAAGGAGGAGGATGATGTCTGGATGATGATGATGGCAGTGCAGAGTTTGTAACGTTCGCCTCAATATTTAGCTTTTCTTTTCCACCTCTCAGAGAGACGTGGTTCCCATCATCCGTCTTGGAGAAATGCCTGGACGGTGAAGACTTCTTCTCTGAGCTTTGACTGGACAGGGTTAAAGATGGCTTCACGGGAGAAAGACAGCAGCTCTGGGGAGGCAGGGACACAATATGAGAGAGAAACACAGAGAGAGAAATGTTTATATGCTGTTCTAACATGTCAAGCTACTCTCTCAGGTCTCCACTTCGAGGTGACACACACACATTTGTCTCAGCAGTTCAGATTTCTCTGCAGACCGCAGTGTTATTCCTTCACTGAAGCACCAGGCTTTTTAGCCATTAAGGCAGCTGCTCTCACTTTGTTCTCTCTGGACGAAGCCATTAAACCATTAGCTAATCATTCGGCTTAAGTGTTACAACAACAACAGCTCTCACAGTCGCCACTTCCATGGAGACAACCTCTGCAGAATTACTTCAATAACTCTAATGGCCACTAACATCATTCTCCGATGCAATATCCCTCTTCCTGTGGGTAATGCCAGCCGGGGATAAATAAGTTAAGATAAAATGTTAATTGCATTTGATGGCCATCTCCAGTCTAATATTATAAAGAGGCATTACCTGCCTGTAAAAAGAGATAATCGAAAATTCCCCTAATTGGGGAATCACACAACATTAAAACTATTTCTAAGAGAAACCAAATTATGAATAAATCCTCATTAAGGTTGCCATTTGAGAGTGGTCTGATTTAATGGAATTAAGACAAGTATGCCCTTCGCTCCACTCATCCTCCACCATCTCACACTTTTTCAGTTCTTCTCCTCTCCACTGTGGACAAACCACGACTGTCACTGTTCCTGAGTGGAAGAAGCAGCTCTGATTTGATTAGCAGATTTTGGTATTAAGAACAAAGCTTTGTCTGTGGATAATCAATAAAAACAATTTTGGAATTAAAAACTAGCAATATAAATGAGAATGGAGATATAGAAGGAGAAGACACTGGGCAAAAACTGCACTGCTAAAAAACTGGGCGTATATTCACAACTCCAGTTTCAGTTTTTGGGCAGTTTTTTGGAAGTTGCTATCTGTCTAAATCTATTAAAACATGGTTTGTCAGCTGGGGGGGCTGACAGTCAGGGACATGCCTACGCTGAGGAGCCATTAGGAAAGAGAAAATGGAGAAATTCTACTGTCTGACAGCCACAGCGGTGCTCTGATCCAGACATCCCCCGAGGGGCCAGGAGAACATTCTGACAATCTTCTTTGCTGTGAATGACATCCCATTAAACAAATAGCTTAGCCTGGGAAATGCTCGGTGGTGTTTTAGGTACAACATGCCAACCACTGTGTGATGGATCATGTGGTACTAAGAGGATTGTTTGTGAAAGACTTTCATTCATCTGTTTTAAAAAAACAAAGAGTCTGCAATCTAAGGATTCAACAATTGTCTCTACAAACAGTACAACAATATTTAATTTCATCATCATTTGATAGAAAGTTGATAAATCTGAAACAAAGCTGAGCGCAGAGAGAATGTTTGGCAATTTTGCTTCAAAAATGTCTATTAATCATTTAGTAAAAAGCTTTGGGCTAATTGATAATTTAATAAGTCAGGGTGTATCAGCTCTGTGTTGAAAACAGTGGATGAGAAGCTGACAGAGAGAATCACAATGAAGAAAATCTCTTAAAGTTATTATCTGAGACAATGAGAGAGAGAGGACACACGTCTATGAACCATTCAATGTCAAGTATCAGGAGACGCAGCACATGTAGGTGATGAGGACAGGATGGAGGTGTGTCATGCAGAATTCCCTAGAGTGCTCACAAAATTGCAATGTTAACTTCAACCGCCTCAAATCTAAAAAAAATATGACCCTTGGTTCAGACTTCCAGGTGTAACCCTGAGTCTGCCATGTCTCCTCTCATCCTCAACCCAAACAGACACAGTGGTCACCATGCACATCCTCCCCCCTTCCCCCGCTGATATCTGATCTGCATAGGTTGCTGATGTAGGCTACTTTTTGATTTTACAGAACCCTTCAGAATGACAAATGCCGGTTCAGCCAATTACCTTATAATCACACGGTTTGAAGCTCCTAAACTGGACCTAAGCAGAACAAGTGGGAATCAACCCAACTCTAGGACACAGTGGAGGAGAAACATGTCTGTAATAGTTAAAGTAAGATACTGACTGACTGGTTCTGTGACAAAAAAATTGATGTAAACTCCAATTTAGTCAGAGATGTGAGAGAAGTCTTGCTATCAGCAACACAGATCTGCCTCCACGTAATTACATTCACAAGGATAGAACAGATACCCTTGAAACACTGCCAGTATGGATAGATAGATGCAGTAGCCATGGCAACAAGAGAAGGTGCATATGTATGATGAAAACAAACAAATCCGATGGTAAACGATACCACTCATTAGAGCCCACTGGAGATGAATCGCCAGCGTGGTAACTGAGGTCAACACTTACATTGGGATGAGATGAGAGTATGTTTTCTAACTTCAGACACTTCGAACTGTCTGGTACGACCATTGCTCGACTTATGAATTTGAACTGTTTATGTTTTGACAAAGTTGTTCGGAAAGGCCACAAACACACAATAACATTTAGATAGACTTGTTCCAGAGCATTTTACACATCAACAACAGATGTAGCCCCAGTAAACCAAGAGCACACAAAAGCCCAACAAATGTAAAAAAAACTACATAGCATGTGTGTGTGATAAAATAATATACGTACAGACGAGGCCGGCCAGCCTTCTCTCCCATCACTCTCCTCTATGACTGATGTCGTTGTAAACTCCACTTTGGGGGAGATTCCCTAGAGGGAGAGAGACAACAGGACCAAGCACAACACCTTGAACAGTGAGATAGAGACAAAGGGACAGATAAAAGAGCTTGTTTGCTGCACCAATTTACAACCACAACACTTCAATCTACGCATGGCTTGAAAAAAAACCCAACAAATTGCAGAACAGAGACAGGCTCCAGTGATGTTTAAATAATATGGCATTCAGAGAGAGAGACATCTAAATTGCTATGTAGGCCTTCAAACACAAACACATAAAAGCAGCAGTGAGGGGAATGGTGTTTAAAGACATTTAAATATGCTGGTTACTGGAGGATAGAAAAGTAACCCGCAGCCAAGGAGAGATGGAGCAATGAAAGAGGGAGAGAAGGTAGAGAGGGACACAGATGATATAAGAGTTGAGGTGATAGAAAAGCGAGGAGGTTCTTACTTTTTTTGCAAAGACAGATGACAGATGTACAGGGACAATGCCATCTTGTCTGAATAAATCACCTCACTTGGTCCGAGATGAGACAGTGCTTTTAAATTAGTTATCTTGGTAGCGTACCTGCCTATCATGTGCACATATGTACGAGCCACTGAGATTAGAAGGAGACTCACTTAGAGAGAGCAACAATCTTCTCAGGTGTGTGAATGACGTGTAATATTTTCCCTCAGGCAAGTTCACATGGTGAGTGAAATGTGGGTTTACATGTGAATTACAAATGAACGACTGACGAAAATACCCTCGGCCTGTAATTCAACTGTAGCTCTGGTACATTAGCAGGCGTAAATGACGTGATACACTTGTGCCAACATTCATCAAGTTTATTTTTTGGACTAAAGTGGGGAGAAAAAAAGAAAGTAAAAATCCTTCACTTTTACTCCTCTGCAATATTAGGATTATAAGTTATTCATTAAATGTTTAAATTTTAAGTTGTTTAAGACTAGACCAGCTTGTACATAACTGCAGTATAGAGACAAACACAAGTCACTTTTCAATGTAATTGTGCAAAATATCATTAATCATAATGAATAATATGTTAGCTGAGGCAGCGTAATTGAGAATAGTAATAGGCAACAGCACATATTTGCATTTGACGGATGTTACACCACTTGTTTCCTTTTCTTTTTTGCATTTATCATAGCGGCAAACAACAAGAATAAATCTGGAATTGATTTTGTTTGCAGTCACTTTCCATGCATCTTCATTTTCTGAAATAGTCAACGTGGAACTAAATTCTTCTTATTATACAATTTCTCTGACGTACCTCATCTACCAACAGGTGAATCGGAACAGAACAGAATTTAGTTTCAGGAAGTTTCCTCTGGAGTGTTATATTTTTCATATGCTAATTACCGCTGGGGATATTAAGGATTTTACACAAACTAAATCTAATCTCTATAAAATTCCAATTGTATGTGTTTTTGCAGAATTAACCATTTTAAAGAAAGTAAAACACAGCAGATGTAAGGGAAATCCATCTGTGACAGGCTGTTCCTTCTCTGAGCATGCATGTGATCCATTTTGTGAGAGATGCTCTGAAAAATTACTTTCTGTTTTAATGTAAAATTTGTCACTTGATAAATCTTGCTTAATACTCACAGTCAACAAAAATAGTTCTTATCCTTAGTTGACTCTGTAGAATATGTAAGTGTTATTCATTTTTTGATGAATATTGACGTGGGTGTTAGAAGGAGGATTAATAAATAAATAAAAAGGAATAGATGGAAAACAGCCTACAGGAAAGAATGAGGACTTCTTCATCAGTATTTCTCTCTCTGCCGCTCGTTCTCCTGAGTTCAGTCTGGGACCAGGGTACAAGAAATCTCTGCTGCTTTCCTCCATTGTGGCGAGGATCTCACCCCCTAAAAAGGTACACAAACCGACAGTAAACAGGGGCACAAACACAAACAAACCAAGTTAGAAATCCTGTTTTGCAGTGTAATGACTGGATACAGTGGAGACTTAAACCAGCATCATCACAAAACGTACCTGGAGGCACCAACTGAATCAGCTCAAAAGATGTTGTGTCAGCTAAGAGGAAGAAAAGAACAAATTGACTGTGAGCTAATGATCAGTATCACAGCTAATAGCCTATAAGCTTGCATAGCATAGGATTCAGGACTAAGAGATGAGGAAGCAAATCCCAGTGGGCCATTTACCTTCGAGGAGGTCAGCTACATCAGCAGGGTCAACAACACCAGGGAAAGTCTGGTGAAACAGACAGAGTGCAGACAGATCAATAGATATAACAACACGAGACAGACTGCCCGGTGTCTTACTCTGTAACTCTCCCAGAGGAGAAGAAGACCTCTTCTATCAGGAGTTAGGGCAGGAGCATTCATAATGGAGGGCTGGAAATGTACATCTTCAGACTAACAGCAAAACTCTGCTCATGTTGCTTAATTAGCTTCTCACTACTAAAAAAGAGACGAGCAATTATGACTGAAAGCGGCCTCGACTGAATCCAAGTGCAACTAAGCAACAGCAAACGGCACAAACATAAGCATAAGGATTCAAACAGAAGAAAGAGAAGGAAAACACTGGAAGGGAGATTTATTTTGTGCTTTATCCACTACATATAATATGAACAGATGTTAATATCCCAGAAGGGTTTCAACATGAAGATAAAGTATCATATGCATTTCTTTTTGACATTGTACCAAATACGCCACAAGTCATTTCACCAAATCTGAAAAAAGACACCACAGAGAGACAGGAGTCCTACAGTTGAATGAAATGTTACTGTTCTCACCTTGACAAACACCATTTTGTGGTGAAAGAGCAAAGGGAAGACAGGAGGCAGACAGGGAGTCTTCCTGTACTGGCCCATGATACACACGCTCAGGTAGATCTTGTGCTTTCTAGACAGCAGCTCTCCTGGACATGTGACCTGTAAACAATGACACACAGATTCCGTTGTTGTCTTGAACGACAAAATATAAGAAAGTAAGAATTTAACCAGATAAAATAAACCATTTACATACATGTGTACAGTAAAGACAAATACAAACACATGACATGCTCTGAATGTGTCCTCGTACTGAAACACGAGCAAACCAAGCATTGTGGGACATGTAGTTTTGTGGATAAATGCTCAACAGCAGATGTTAAATATCTAGATCTTACTTCTGCTTTTACTTCCTCGTGTCCTCGTCATTATCTGTAGAGATGATCGAATTATTGAATCGCCCATGTAATTCTGTGGGCTAAATGCGTTAGTTACTATTTACTAGTTAGTGTCTCCAACATTTGAACTCATAATTACGGATAATAAATAAATAGGCGTTAGCTACAGGTTGCGGACGTTAGCTTGCTAGCAGAAGCAGCTCCAGTGTTGCGGGTGAACCGTGTGAGACTCACCGTGTGAATGTCCAGCTGAACTTTACACTTCAGAGACTTCTGGCGAACTTTAGAGGAGGAAAACTTCTTCTTCTTCAGAGAAGCCATTCAGACAACTTTCAAAGTTCGTTGTCATAGCTGCCAAACACCGACGCTCTTCTTCGTCGTTGAGCTTTAACACTAGACGAATTACAACAGAGACGCTCACTACCGCCACCAGCTGGTACGGTATTCCACAAATAATGTCAAATTAGTCAGAATCTACCGAAACATTACAATTATTACTTAAGTTTTATTTGTAGAATATCCACGAGATGAAAGTGTATTTCAATTATTCTGAGGTTTTGAATCATATCTCTGATAGTGTAACAACATATGCTACTGGTTCTCCTCCCACGCAGCATGAACATCAGCTTTACTATATATGTGTGATTATACTGTATGAGCCTGTACAGTTTAATCCGGTGTGTCTGAATCTTTTTATTATTATTATTCTCTAATCTCTCCTTCTCCTACCTGCACATGTCCTTTTAACAAGGTTAAATTCCATAAAACCATCGTCCTTCCCTCTCATTTTACCTTTGACCATTTTCTTTCACTATCTGTTTCGTGATGCTGCTGAATTCTGTCCTGTTTGAGAAAATTGACAAATCTGAGTAATTCTTTTTGGCCTCTTTTACAATCTTCTCATTTACTTAGATTACCAATATGTCCTGGTATTTTTACTGTGAGAGTCATCTTTGAATCTTTGAATACATTTGTTGTTGATGCATCCGTGATGAACTACATAAGTGTCTATATATGCCTGTTTAGTATTTGACCTAATGTAAAATCTGCTGTGGCTTTAGGAAGAGCCACAAAGCAGATGTGGAGTCATGTGACCAAGAAGTAAAGTCAAAAGTTCTGTTACATCTGTTATATATATGGGAGCAAAAGGTGCAACATCACGATTAGGTGATAAAGTGTTTATTGCGTAATTGATAATAAAACCAACAGCAACTCAGTTTACACCCGACATTAAAATACATTTCATATCGAGATGGTTTTTACCTGATCACAATACACCGGGCATTAATGTGTCTCCAGTGTCCGATCACCCCAGCTCACGTCACATCCTCCTCTCATTTGCGCAGACCCAAAAAACAACCAACTGCTCTTGTCTCTCCTCCATTCATTCTTGAATAACATGAGGACTGATGAGAGGACGGCTTCATGTCTTTACTGGCTAATGGCTGCTAGCTGCCTTAGTGCCACCTCGCTGGTTTGGAACAATCGTTAAGAATAATCATGTCTGCATAACTTGTTGTTGTAAGAGGATGGAGAACGCAAATGCATGCATGTAAACTTATGTGTCTGAACTCCCGGAGTTCTTTTGCAGATCAGTTCACAATCCGCCCTCATTGCATCTTGGGTGCATTTATACCTTTACTTTCATGTCATCAAACACTATCTGGTTGCAGTGCGATCAACAAAAACACATTTTAATGCCAGGTGTAACAATTATTACACCATCCAGGTCAAGTCATACAGTACGTCAGTAGCAACAGGGAAGCATGCATCTATTTATGAACGTCTATATACACAGAAAAATGAGCTGCTGAATGAAGGCCTCAGATTAAATAAAGACAAAGTCCTTTATGTGAGTGTCATCTCTTGACAGCCAACTTGGTAATGTCTCGGGACCATTCAAAAATGAATGGGGAAAGAGCTATAAATGCACTTTCCACGGTCACCAGAACATAAAACCCATGTTTTAAGTCTAAGACCGTCAAATTTGATTTAAATAAAACCCACTTGAAATGATTGATGAATTCGCCTCCTTGTCATTGTGTTTTACCTCTTGAACGTATGTGCAAGGCTTCATGACACCAGCCTCTTTTCTGGTTCAATCCCAGGAGCCCTGACACAACACTGTCAGCTCATCCCACCAGAGCACTTCAACAAATGAGGGAGTTTGTATCTGATGTTTAAATAAATACAGTTGATGCATCACATACTGCATTTTTGTTCTTCCATGCTTAACAACCATCAGTTGAAACTGTCCTGAAACATGTCAGGATTTGCTTTTCTATATTTCCTATTTAGATCTCTTTAGAACTCGTGTTTTGTCTCTGTCTTTATAACGTGTCTGATAGAGATGTAACTAGTCTGTCTTCCCTTTGTTTACATTTCATAGTCACTCAGGTTTCAGATTTTTCTGATTCTGATTTCTTCCAAATACCAGTAACCTCACTGTTACAAATACGTGAATATAAGTCTTCATAGCCAGGGAAATGTGGAGCTTCTAAAGGCAATGAAGTGTGAAGGATTCTCCTTCCACGGTGCTCTGCATTTTATACACGCTCTGTCTGTGTCCGGCTGTCTGTCGGTCTAGTGCCTGACACCCTGGCTTTTCTCTCTCTGTCTGTCCACTGCATCTCTGCCAACGCCATTGCCCTTTGCGTTGCCTGTCGGGGACATCACCTCTGAGCTGGAGACAAGAACATATAAATGTGAATGACTGAGATTAAGTTCAGGAAATAGCAAAAATGCACTCAATAATAAACAAAAGGAAGAAATGTGTAAATGATTTATCTTCTACTAGTAGTTATACATGACACGATTCTGCTTTACCTTTGTATGTGAGTTGGTCTGTTGTCCTTGATAAGGTTGTTGAGTTTGTAGTAATCAAGGAAGGTACGAGCCACATTCCTGCCCAGCTTCATGTCTGAGGTACTAGAGTTAAGAACAGTTGTCTGGATGATCTGCAGGTGAAAACATTTCCTTCCTCAGAGGTACCCAGACTGAGTGCTGGACCATTGATGAGGAGCTGTGACATTGTACTGTGGAGTGAATGTTGGATTCACTTTCGGGGTCATGTCCATCTTTATATAGTCTATAGTATATTTGTACCCTATGTATTAGGGTTATCTTTTTGCAGTTGCACTGGAGTAACTAATAACATTATAAATTGATATATTGTTATGGCATATTTGCTAGAATGGACCCATTGTCAAGGTTATTATTTGTGCTTGTAATGCAGCTATGACTAGTTGTAAAGTTGTACATTTTATTGAAAGGTCTGTGATTCAGATGCATTTCAGATGCAGCTGATGTAAAATGTAGGAAATTCCATAAAGCTTAAGAGCCACAGTCGTAGATACTTCTAAAATTCTACAGAGTAAACTAAAGATTCCAACTTGAGGTCTTAGCTTAAATTACAACACTTTAGGAATGAATTTAAAAAAAATTCTATGGTTCATGAAACATTCAAATTTACACTGAACACAAAAGTAATTACTTACAGGCTGATGCCTGATTTAAATTCAGAGGTGAGCACAAACATCATCCGCCTGCTCAACTGGCCCTGACTACATTAGTGACAATATCAATAACTTCACTGCTTTTACAAAACAGCCGAGCGTCCATGAGTGGTGTTGCTACGGCTGTGATCATTAAGGCAGCAGGAAAGGTAACGATGATAATCATACAAACATAATGAAGAAATGGAGAACCAGGATACTGACAATGTTCCCAATCAAGAGTAAGGATATAGTAAACACAGTTCAATAAAAACAATGATGCTAACAGACGTAAGTTTTATCGAGTCACTGAGGTGCATGGACTGAGGAACACTTTCAACAATATCAGCTGAAAATATCCATCCATCCTTTAAGATGTGTCTATGTCTCTTCCATCATCCAACATCAATATCTAACATCCTTACATCTGTTCATATAGACGCCAACACAAAACAACCTCAACCATAAATGTGTTTCCTTATCTTGACGCATTGATGTTTAGCTTCCTCCATTCTTCACCAGATTGAAGTATGATGGAGCAACACAGCGACATTATCTGTCACGTTTCCCCTGTCATTACCTTGTTGATACGCAGATACGGCCTGTCGACCGCTGGACTATCTATCTGTCCCAACTGTGTAATTGAAACAACTGGTATACAGACAAAGACGAAGATTCCAATTTCTCATAATGATAAAAAATGACCTGCGCTGCAAAACTCGTGGTTGCTACAAAGATGAAAAGCTGTTAACTTGTAAACAATCCATCCTCGGTTTGAGCAGGCTGCCTGGGCGTAGAGTTCAGGCTCTGTAGTTTGTCAAACAACACACAAACACACACAAGAACACACACGGACACTCACACAAACACACCCACACACACATATTTAGGGGTACACCTGGAAAGTCATGTCTGTGAATATGCAAGAAAGTCCGTCTGTAAGTCTGTCACCTTGGCCTGTGAGGGGATGTTTTTGTGCATGTTCAGGAGTCCGCACAAGACTTCATTCTTCACCCGGCAGGCTGATGGCAACTCTCTCCACATGACTCCAGAGTCTATATTTACACCCCATCTGGCTGTTTGTCTGTGCGTCCTGTGTGTGTGTGTGTGTGTGTGTGTGTGTGTGTGGATGGGTCTCACAGTCTGTCTCATGCTGGATGATGATACTGATTAGACGAAGATAAAACACAGATGGAGAAAGTGAGGTTGTGTCCTCACTTTTATGCTAATCTTAGCGTATAATTGTTCCAAACAAGATAAGAGTCTGCAGTCGTGCTAGTCGCACAGCTGTGCTCTGAGCTAAACGCTAACATCAGCATGCTACCCCACTGATAATTTTGCTCTGTATAACATGCTGATATTTAGCAGGTCATCATCTTAGTTACTAATTAGCAGTGAACACAAGGTACGGCTGAATCTGGTAATGTGGCACTATATGTTAGGTGATCACCAAAGTTATAAGAACTCATCATGACAGAAACTGTGCATTCACATGCTTCTCCGAAGGTCTCATTTCCAGAGTTGTTGTTTCAAATTTGGTGTTCATATGTTTTGAAGTCAGAATGTTAAAAAACAAAAAATCATGGATGCTGAAAACAAAATGTATTGTAATTATGTGTTTTTTGGGGGGGGTGTAAACATCGTAACAACTCTTTCTGATATTTGCATATAGGAATTAAAGAAGAGAGGAAAGGATCATGTGTGAGAGACATAAATAATTAAAAACTTATGCATGCGAATCATAAAAAGGGATTGGCTCTACAGTGAGTGGTGGACATGTAGTTTGCAAGTTTAACATTTAACAAGTTCACATTAGAAGCTGCTATTTAGAAGTGATTGTAAAATTATGTGAATTGGTTTATAAGTGATGATGTCAGCAACTTGGCAAC